TACCGCTACAAGGTTGTCTGGAGAATAGCTAGGTATAGATTGATTTGGTATTTCTTCCGTGGCTGCGAAGAGGAGGTCGTTGTTGGGGGCGTCGTATGACACCGTGTTGGCAGTAATGAAGGCTATGGTAATGTCTGCCTCTTGAACTGGTATAGTCTGAATATCTGGGAGCCAGATTGTTCCATCGTCAGGGGGCATAAGCCCTGTAAGAAACATCAGTAATGCACGGAGTCAAATGTTGGTCGATGCAACTCACATTAACTGATAACCAATACCGTCCACGATAGTCCGGTTCTTGTAGGTGAAGGTGAAACCGCCTGGGTAGATCCCATCGGTGCTTGCAAGAGAGTATTCGTACCCTGGCGGGTCTGAAGTTGATTTCCGAAATCTCGTAGCGTTGATGGGTGCACAAGTAGTGAGTCGTCGATATGCGACCCGGTCCTCCTCCTGTGCGTTTAGTCCAAGATCGGAGTGAGAGTTAAGGTGTCCTGTGTCCATTTGATATACTGACGATGGTAAAGAGTAACATAGGTCGGGCGAAAAGGGGCATGGTACGTCGTATGTACCATTCCAATGGATACTCCGTGCCATGTAGGTGCCGCATTGTGCTGAAGCCGTGGAGTTTATGCCGTAACAAGCCCGGCTGTAACTCTCTGCAGCGCGAACGTCCCCCGTAACCTTGGCTCGGAAACCACCCAATCTAGCTGGGTCTGTGGAAGACGCATCCCAGTAACTGCAGTTGCGGCCGGAAGTGAGGGTTTCGTTGCCAGCAGCCTTGGTGACTTCCGCCGTCATGATACTAGCCGCACGGAAGGCACCGAGGCAAGACAAGGCAAGGATGAGCACTGGTAGAGAACGTAACCATGGCCTCTTCGCAACTCCTCTCCAGCGGAAGGCTATCTTGGCCAACGATATCGCGGCGCTCATGGGAGCTTCAGAGTTTCGGAGAATGGCTTGTTGTTGTAAATGCATGCCATCGTGTTCTCTGCGGTTCGAAAACTCCTGATGGGCGAGGAAGGCGATAATGAGCCAGAATCTGGACCCAGCGATCGTAACAAAAAGCGTCAGAAACGAAACTAGGAAGTAACTACTGCGAGAGGTGAGTGTGATTGTGTTCCCAGAAGCGGCGTTGTGGGACCAGTTGATCCAGCCCCCAGTGTGAATTTGGTCGTCGGATGACATGCTGTAGGCTCTTTGAAAAAAAAAAAGGCTCAGACTTGACCTGACCTCCACGAGCAGATGTACTGCATCGGTCATGGATATGCGGCGATACCTTGTCAACTTAGTCTCTCTTTGAACGGTGAAGCTTCAGCTATGTGGCTAAGCATGGGTATGAGAGAAATCCTTACGTCTTTGTATGATTGGTACAGCAAGCCAACGCGAATTAGCGACCGTATTAGAGACCCATATGCGGCCGTGACTGAGAATCGTGATAGCCCTTGGTGTTATGACTGGCCCCTGCTTCAAAGGTTACGTCTACGTTCCGAGATCGTGGGAGCCATCCTTGGTATTGCTTCCGCGACGCATTACTCGTCTCCAGGAAAGCATGCGAAGCGCATGACGTGGCATTGTTGTCCCGGCCAGCATTGCTGAAAACATCGCCGACCTCAACTGAAGCTGAATAATGATACTGAAATGCTTGATAAGCCTTATGATACTCATCCAGTGGCTGCATGAGATGGCCCTCGTGATTTCGCCTATCCCAGTCCACAAACCTTGCCGTATTTCTTCAGCTGAGACCGGAACGGTCCAACACAAGGCTCGAACAGGCAAACGCTGCTTATGGAACAGTAAAGGGCAAGAGTATCGGAGACACGCAGTATCTGAGCTTCACGTAACAATGCCGCACAGACACTCCCCGTAATGCTCCCGGCTCATCTCCAGGGCCCCCAGTACATGAACATGCAGATTCTGAAGGAATTCTGTTGCTCCTTTGTAAACGATAAGACAGAAGCCTAATGACGGATTTAAGACTCGGTCTTATCGATATTTCGAGAGGCAACCGGTGCAGATTACCGAGAGACGAAAACAACATTGCGAATTATGCGGATTTTCTCAGCCTTACGCATCATATTAAATATTATCTAACAGACTGCAATTCGTAGGAGAAACAACTAAGCCGCATTAATTCCTCCATACATTGTGCTGCCCGATCTCCACCATGTCACAGTAGGATTTAAAACATAATCGAGCAGGATAGAGCAACAGCTGCGACAATCAACATCCTAGAATAGGTGACACCAGGTGCAGAGCCTGCAAATACGCCCGTATAGACCTGGTAGAATCAGCCTTCCGAGCTTAGAAGGTAGTGGACCGATAGCTGGAAGACTTACATTGTCCAAGTAGTGGATAACGCCGTTCTTGATCATCACATCCGACTTGATGATAGTTGCGTTGTTGACCGAGTAGGATCCGTCATGATTGACAGTGATGTTAACCGAATTTCCCGCGCTAGTCTTGTACGTACCAACACGAAGGCTCGGGCTCGTTGCGAAAGTGTCTGGCAGGATGTAGTGCTGAAGAACGGTTGCATCCAGGGTTTGTCCAGATAGGACAGCATCACTAGGAACAAAGATGGTGATGCCCGGCTTCTCTGAGACGGAGTCGAGAATGCCGGCTTGGGCAAGGGAGTCGGCGAATGCTGTACCATTAGTCTCTCGGAGAGTTGAAGCAAGATCCCCAAAGAGCGTAAAGAAGCTAGAGAACGTATAAGTCATGGCTTTCAGGTCTTTTGTTACGCACGTACCTGTCCACTTTCCGTATTGCTCCTTTATTGTATAACATCTCACTCAAAGACGCCTGAGACACTTTTCCAAAACCAGAAGAGATGAGTATCGATGACTCATTCAACTGTCGCCGGTAATGATCTGAGTATGGTGCCAATGACCTTTTTTCAGAAGCTTGGCTTCGTTTTCCTACACAGGGAGCGGGCCTGCTTTCTGGTGTCGATGTGGGCGCTCCTTCACTTGATGTCGAGGTTTGTAGGCTCGAGCTGGATGCTAATGTGCTTTCAGACGTAGAAAAGGAGCTCGACGATACCGGTGTCGAGATAGACGAAAGAGAAGTTGGGCTAGGACTTAGGGAAGTCAAAGACGTGGTGGACAGGACGGCGCTCGAGGCAGATGGTTCAGAACTGAGAGTCGACTGTACGAGGCTAAGGCTCGAAGAGGTAGGCGAAGCTGAAGCTGAAGCTGGCCCAAGGTTCACGAACTTTGGGTCCGTCAAGTTGGTAATGAGGTCCGTAGGTTCGAAGTTGAGATTGTCCTGGTTCGACCTGTCCGTGAAGAGCAGAGCGATTGCGGCGGCATAATCGGGAAGGCTCCTGCGGCGGAGGCCACGTGGACGAGTGGAAAGCGACCCGTTATTGCTGATAAATTGCTGGAATACAGCAACGGCCGCATTTGAGGGAGCAAATACTGTGTAGTTCTTCATAGATTTTAGGTTCTTGAGCAAATCAGGATGATCTCCAAGCAAACAAGCAAAGGCCTGTGTATCGGGATCACTCCGGAGCACAGTGAGGAGATCGAGACCTCCAGAAGAAACATTTTGGCATAAAGCCAGGGATGGAACGAGGATGTAAACAATCGCGTGGAGTTTCATGATGATTGAGGAAGGACCAATTTTTTAACTTAATGCAACAAGATGGTGAACTGACAGTTTCGACTGTACGCGACGCAATGATCCCAGATTCGAGGTCCTGATGAAAAACAGGAAAAGGGCGCTGTACTCCTGCAGTTAAACACGGTCGGCAAATGCAGCTATGAGACATTCATATTTCCCTATCAGCCTCCAAATCCGTGTCCAACACGTATCTGGCCATCCTGCTGAGCTGGAATAGGGATGTTCTATTGGAAGTGGAGATTACAGATAGAACCATTGGTTCGTTAGTCCGGAACTGGAAATGAATTAACATATACGTGGTCTTTTCGTGGGGTAACAAGGCTGTACATGCAGAAGGTATTAGGTACAGGGCGGTATATCGAGGTGTGACCCGGTAACTAGGCTTGTTACGAATTCATGGCCAAGAGGGAAAGAATGTTTAGTGAGGGATACACATTCATCTCAGCTGGCAGGGATCGCGCGCTAATTGCATACGAGTTTTGAATGGCTCACCGTAAGAGGCGGACGATTTGTGGTTGGGAGAGCTGAACAAAGCCAGGTACCATTGCGGCGGGTCTAACACAGAGATCAGTTCGAATAGTAGTCGTCTGATACCTAGGTCGGCGATTACAATTCAAGCTGGCTTGTTATGCAGCGATTGTTTGTGTTTCAGCTGTCACAAAGTATAAGCACACGCCACATTCGCTTACCCCAGTGACCGGTACGGTGCGCTTTGCGTAGACGAGCGAAATCTTCGACATGCATGATCTCCGTTTTTGGAAAAGAGGTCCTTTCGGACCAATATTTGGGACTGGAGTGCCGGGAGACCAGCCAGAAATCCCAGACGCCGATCTTATCTCGCGTATCAGTGATTGTCGACGTATGCTTTCCCTGCCTGACCCCTCGTGGACAGTTGGATTCCGCTAATAATCGCCGATGGTGGTAATGGGCTTCGTATCTGTGGTCGAATTCAATTGCCGGTCCAGCTGTATCGGCGACCACAGCTGAAAGAGAGACATGGATCCTGCATGGGTGCCTACTGTGAGGCTCTGTCTCCCGGATCAATACTGATGGAATTCGGATGAGGGTTCGCAAATCCAAAAGCTTGATAGACTCCAGAAAGCTGGTTGTTAGTCAAATATCGCCTGAGAAGAAAACGTTGTGCTGTGATCCCTACGTCCAAAAGATTGCGGTACAGCAAATAGGAAAGGTGACCCAAGCTTACTGTTCAACAAAGATAAAGTGAGCTGACTTTGGTAGGCTCGATTTGTCCATATGTCTTCAATAACAACGTTCACGGCTGTATTTTGGCTCATGCGGCGAGGTGTTGCAATGCCCGCAACCCCTTTGCATGCACTGAACGACCCTATAAACCAAACTCAAGGCGACTATGAGCCCTCATGGGTATCTGGACCAAAGACTCGAGGAACACTGAGCCTCGTTTTTACGTGTGCCATCACATTATTCCTCTGCGTCTGGACCACGGTTCAAGTGAACATCGAGCCACCGGAGAACGAGTTCAACCCGACCTTAGCGCGTTTTATCCCAATAAAGGCGTTGAAGCATAACGAGACGCTGCTGAAGTTCTTGGCAAAGAGATCGATCCGCAAGTTGGGTTGGAGTTTCGTCACCCTGATCATGCCCGAGGGCGTCATGGCCATCGCGGCATACGAGAGAAAGACCGCTAGTATTCTCCGCAAAGAAGTTAACAAAGTCATCCCCAAGGAGAGCGATCAGTGGGATATGTTCCTAGCCTACTATGCAATCATGGGAGGTTTCGTCATTCCGAAACACGATTATGACTCTGTCAGCTCTCAGCTCAACAGTCAAATCGAAGGCGAAATGAAGCTGCACCCAAGGCAAGACCAGGAGCTTACGGTAGATCCAAAATTGACAACGCCTGAATTACTCCCGGCACTGGCCTCCAAGCAGGGTTTCGACACCATCGATCCTGTCAACAGCGACAAAGAAAAGGCAATTAGCAACGACGGTGGAGGGGACTATGACTTACAGAACCGTCTGCTGACGCTGACTCCATACGGCGTCCTTCAGTTGGTCAAATGGCAATCGGGGCAGTCCGGAAAGCAAACAGCCAGACTGATTACTATAACATCCAGTCAGGTCCAGGACAAGAGCAACGCGAGCTCCTTGACCAAGTTGATCGTGGCCTGGCAAGCGTTGTGGATGATTGTCCAGGTAATTGGACGGAGAGCCGAGACTCCGGATATACCTATCACACTGCTCGAGTTGCACACCTGCCTTCACGCATTTTGCGCATTCGCCATGTATCTTACATGGTGGAACAAACCAGTGGATATCGATCTACCGACAACAGTTCACCTCACCCCCCGAGCAGATTGTCTTCCTTAGGAGGGGTGAAGCAGAGGGATCTGACCCTACGAATTTTTGGGGACAAGACGCAATTCCGTCGCGTAAGGGTGAACTCCGCAATGCCTCGCGCGTCTTTCTGACGTCCCGGTCGGGTATCGGCAAGCTCATGTACCAGCGGCTTGCCGGACACAGAAATATTCGCACCGAATTCTTCTCCGCAATAAGCGACGCGTATATTCGTCTGTGGCGAGGCAGACGGCAATTCTGGAAAGAGTCCTTGACTATCTCCTTCGTTGGCCTAGTTTTCGGAGGCGTCCATCTGGCCGCGTGGAATGACAGCTTTCCTAGTTATGCTGAGGCGATTCTCTGGAAAATTTCGGCGACAATCACAGCAACCGCTTGGTCAGGGTTCGTTTTGTCGCTTTGGCTGAGCGTCTTCGTTGCGAGAAAGCAGGAAAGCAGGATAGTCAGCAAGGTGTGCGGTGTTTTCCTAGGCCTCGGGATCTTTCCTGTTCTAATAGTCCGAGTGTTTCTGCTGGTGGAGTCCTTTGTATCAATTCGTAGGCTGCCGGAAGGTTCCTACCAACTAAACACCTGGTCGAATATATGGCCGCATGTTGGATAGCGGTAGTCCCATCTACGAATATCGGTAGAGGATAAATTTAGTAATATAGTCTTTCATCCAGGTCCATGTTGTGACTCCTGTACGACCTAGGGTTGATTCTGGCACAGTGTAGGCTGCTGCAAGTGACGTTGAGTAGAAGAGTGTTCGATTTTCAGGTGGCAAAACCCACCTACATACGCTAGCAATAGTACAGAGCACTTTCCGTACACCGCAGGGCTCACCTGCTTCAACAACAAGTGCCCGTAGAGATGGTGTGGGGTTTGTACAATAGGTACCCGTAGCAAGAGTGGATTGACCCTCTTTTTGGGGCTGCGTAGTGCACTGTATGGCTGGCATCGCCCGTCTCGTGTAGACACGCGTTGTCACTATGATGGGGGGAGCACATCCATGTACCTAGATAGTCTGTTATTACGTAAGTCATAGTCTGTGGTAGGGGTGGGGCGTTATTCGGCAACAGCCGCAAGCGACGCGAGCCTGCGTCTACCCCGTCCTAGCCTGGGGGATAGGAAGACGCAGCAGGGGCGTGCATGCTTGTGTATCCCGACGAGGAAGAGTACTCTAGTGATGTTTATCTCGTCTAATGTTTAATATGTTCGAATACGTATAACATCTGAAGAAGCTAACATATAACACACAGAAATCACGACCCTGTTCCACGGTCTTCACAGTCCCTGTCGAATTTATGCGACGCGATGTACTCAAAAATCTATTACACTGAACTTTTTGCATGCCGTACCTCTTAGTGTATGTAGACAGGGACGCCGGCTATTACATAGTAGTAAGCTCGCTTGCAAATCGACTCCGATTCCTAATACGCTCGCCGTAAAACCAAAGCACCCAAGGACCTATGCTTAACGCTAGCCCGATTGCGCCAAGCAAGCTGGACCCAGGCCCAAAACCTAACCCCGTGTACATTTGCGTAGTGACCAAAGGAAAGATACCACCCAGGACGTTTCTGCAAAAGCTTTGCGCGGCAATTGCTGAGCTTGCATATGTGCGGTATGTATCGGCAAGGTAATTGAACACTGCAAGGTATACCACGAGGATGCCGGCTGTTGCTAATCCGATGGAGAGTGTCGGCACGATCCAGTGGACGGTAATTCTCGACGTCCAGCCAAATAGGAAGAGTCCCACGGGCAGCAGCACACTCTCGTAACGTACAAAGTAAAGTCTTCTCTCGGGGCGGTAGAAGGTTGGTCGTGGCTTTTGCGATTGCCGATTGACCAGCCATGATTCTTGATATATGGTGATGACCGTGGCAATGATGGATGCGATACAAGGCGATGCAAAGGTCGCGTCTGCTTGGGATAAGGAGAATCCGTAGACTTCTTGGAAGAACAGGGGGATGGCGGCCAGCGTCAAATAGAGAATGGACCAACTGAATGCGGCCCATAGTGAGAAGAAGACCACGGGCTCCGTAAGTAAGAATTGGAAGGGTCGAAAGACAGATCTGATGATGATAGTTCGGATGTGTGCAGCCGATTCCTCCCCTTCCAGAGTCCAATTCACATGGTCGACTTGCACGGACGGACGGGAATTATCTGAGTGGGAAAGCATAAATCCTCGAGCTCCCGAACTCATCATCTGATCGCAATACTTGTTAAAATATTCTTTCTTCTTGCGCAGTATAGCCAACTCGCGCGTCTCTGGGACGAAAGCAACGAACGTAACGACGAGAACAGTATCAATGATGACGTGTAGCCAGAAGACCCACCGCCACGTCGTGTACTGTGCGATGAAACCGCAGACTAAAGGTCCCAAGCCAGTGCCAAAGACAGCGCAGCCGGAGAATATAGCCATGGCTGTATTGCGCTCATGAGACTGATACATGTCCGAGATCACCCCTCCAACTAGCGTGGAGTATGAGGAGCTGCCAACGCCTGCCCAGAAACGAGCCACGAGCATACTGGAAAAGTCAACCATACATCATCCTGCCGCGCAGAGCACTACACGTACCCAGGGAATGACCGTGTCACAGCGCAACATATCTGGCAGACAATAAGGAGAAGGCCGGTAATAGTGAAGGTTGGCTTCCTGCCCTTGATTTCAGAAATAGGAGCGAGAATCATTGGGCCCAACCCGAATCCGGTCGTAAAGGTCGCAATCCCGACCAGAATCGAAACAGGTCCCACGTTCCAGTAGTCTTGCAGCTGTTGTTTACAAGGCGCGTATGAACTGGCAGCGAACGATGCGAAGCATGCCGCGACACTTGAAGTCCAAAGCACAAATTGTTTTCTTGAGCGGCTCCAAAGATAGGGAGAGTCGAAATTTCTTGCTTTGAATTTGACTATTGAATCCTCCAGGTGTTCGACGCCTATTGGGATTGGCAGATTCGAGGAGAATGAAATTGACATGCTCAGGGTGTTACCCCCTGCGGGAGTGACTACTTCTGACATTATGGAGATGAGAAACAAGTGCATGTGCACTAGAAGAGACAATTTGGATAGATTTGCATTTCCAGAGGTACAGAGATATATGAACATTCTGTTGATCAAGTTTTCTCGACGCCACGGCCGCAACATCCGGGTGGACTTTACCTCGTGGATGTCTCGGCTCGGAACGGGCGGCTTGACGACAATTGGAGAGTAAGACTAGCTCTGAAAGTTGGAGATCTTGGACTTCGGGTGCAACATCTCGGTGCGTACAGCCTAGCTTCAGGATCAGGCTGTAGGCATTAATTAATCGTTTAGATCGTACTTTCGCTCAGTCTAGGGAGCATGTCGTACGGCTACGATTTCAGTATCATCACCTTCACTATAGGCCAGCCCGCCTGGTACGCATACTTCGGGTTGACAACCGACGCAAAGCAAACCACTCTCTATGATTACTCGAACAACATCATCGGCGCACTACTTGGACTCTTTTCTGCTGGTGCGGTTTGTGGTGCAGTTTTTGTAGGCTGGATGTGCGACGCTCACGGTCGCAAGAAGTCGCTGATTGTAGCCGCATTGATCAACATTGTTGGTGGTGCTCTTCAGACGGCATCTGTCCATATCGGGATGTTTTTGGTGGCGCGTTTCATAACTGGGTTTGCAGCTGGTAAGCACTCGTCTTAACGGGTACGATCTGTAAAGTTTACCCTCGCGTAGCAATGTTTGTCACCATGGTTCCGATATACATTGCAGAAGTCGCACCGCCAGCTACACGTGGTCTTCTAGTCGGACAGCACGGTGCCTTCTTCCTCTTTGGGTACTCGTTGGCTTCTTGGGCATCCGTCGGTTCCTTCTTTTCCTCTGTGTTGCAGGCCCAATGGCGCCTACCGCTGGCATTGCAGTGGCTCTGGCCGAGTCTCCTGTTGCTGTTCGTGCGGAATATCCCCGAGTCTCCTCGATGGCGTAAGTTCCCCAGGTCATTGCCAAACCTCGGTCCTAGACTGACTCCTTCCCGTAGTCATCACTCACGGCCGTCGAGACGAAGCCTGGGCTGTGCTCTCACGCTTGCATCAAGACATTCGAGATCCAAACCGCAGCACAGATTTTGCTCAAGAGGAGTATCGACAGATCACTGCTCAAGTCTCCTTGGATATCGCTCAGTACGGTGAGGTTACTCTTCTAAATCTATTCCGCAAGCCGCATTTCGCCAAGAGAATGCTTGCTGCTGGAATTGTCATGTTTACGTCTCAAGCATGTGGTAACTTGGTCATCTATAGTAAGTGTTCATTCTGAATCACACCAAGATTTCACAGAACTTGGCTGATCTATTACAAGGCAATATTAGCCTTCTCTATAAGGGTCTAGGCTTCTCTGAGGCCCTGTCCCTCGTGCTGTCTGCTTGTTATATCACCTGGGCATGTTTTTGCAACTTCTTAAATGCTACATTCCTAGACAGACTTGTTCGTGTACGATCGATGTGTAAGCTTCCTTGTCAGCTTGTTCACGATGGTATATTAACGCCTCATGACAGTGATTGGCTTCATTACTGGTGGTGTCATGATCGCTATCGAAGCTACTATTGTGGCTGTCTACGGGGCATCCTCAAATCGTGCCGCTCTGTCAGCCGGCGTGGCGATACTATTTGGCTACATCACAACGTGCGTACACTTCGATCTACATAAATTTAACATAGAGTTCCTCTTTCTAAACACCTAAACAGATTTGCAGGCTTTTGCGACACGACACTATACGTCTATTGCTCTGAGATCTTTCCTACCCATATCCATGCCAAGGGCATGGCCTGGAGCATCGCAGTCTTCATGCTCTCGACGATTCCTTTCCTCGAGTCTTCCACAGTTGGTTTCGCAAACCTCGGCTGGAAGTATTATTTGATCTTCATTGCTTTCTCCTTCTTGTGTCCAATTGCACTCTGGTATTGTTGCCCTGAGGTGAGTTCATATTCATCGAAATCTGCACCGATCACGAGTCTGACACCAAGCTAGACAAAAGGTCTTTCACTTGAGGAAATTGGTAAGTTATTTGGTGATCAAGTTGCGATGGAGCATGGCGAGGTGATTTTGGAAGGCATGTCGAGAGAATCGCAATTAGGTGTTGGCGAGATTGCCGAAAAAAGCGTTCCTTTGAAGATCTAATTACTACTAGCCACTACTTTAACTATGAAGGAAGAATATGAGATTAAATTTTTTTCTACATAGTAGTTTATATAGGACTATTTGAGATGTCTATATAACTAACCACCTTAGGGTTCGGCATGTTGCCACCTAATACTAGTAGGGTATACCCCGCCGCGCCTTTGTTGGTGATTCTCGCGTTTATCTCCATGTGTCATTCTGAGTCGCAGTGCTACCGCAACTGCTACCAGTTGTGTAGCTCCTGTTCGGGTCGCTCTCCCAGACGACTGTGCCACTTGACGTCTTTCTAATGTATTTGTATGTGAAAGAAGTTGAGGCGGGGAGGCTGACGGTTGCATACCAGAGCGGGTCACTGCTGGTGTACTTGCTCGCACTGAGCGCAATAGCGCTGTTTGGATCCCAATTGCCGAGTTGGGTGAGCTGTCCGACGATGAAAATGTTGTCGCCATAGGTGGTAGTAACGCGCTCGTTGAAAGTGACTTGCACGTTGCAGGAAGGAGGAGCAGTGCATGTCGTGGGCGGAACGTTGTTAGAATTCTCTCCCCAAGAAGGTCCAACAGATCCAGAGCGACGATCGGTAGCAGTCAGGAAAGCTGCGTAAGACCAGGTCAGGTCGACGGCGGAAACTGGGGAACCACTGCTCTTGTCAAACTGCTCAGCCAAACCACCATTGGCAGGTGTGTACTTTTGAACTACTGCAACGTAACCGTCGCCATATGTAGTGACAGCCGACACAATCGATTCGAAGGTAGCCGATCCTGAGGCGTAGGTACCGGTTGTGATGCTGGGAAGGAGATCCTTGAAGAAGGGAAGAGAAACGGAGTCAACCGTAATGGAACCTATAGTGTTCCACTGGTAAACAGCGGCGTAAAGTTGTTCGGCCGCGGCAAGGGTTGCGAGATACCATGGATTGCCATTGTAGTAAACATCTTCGGAATATCTTCCCACTGCAACAGCTTGTCCTTGCGCGATACCTTTGTTGATGCTGTAAACAGCACGGAAAGAGTCAGTGACGGCCTTGTGATTGAGTAATGCCCGGGAAGAGCAGGGTTGGAGGGTTGTGTTGGTGCAAGCTGATGCTGGATCGAAAGTATGGATCGAGGAGATGATGGAGTTCACATCCTTGCCAGTACGACCATCATTTACGTTGATATTAGAATCAATGTACCTGCCAGTCCAAAAGCTTTGCAGGAAGCAAAGGATCTGTGGGGCGGCGGCCGCACATCCATCGCATATTTTCGAGAGCTTAGTAGCGAGAGCGGCGCCTTCGACGAGGGCACGATGAGTAGCTGAGAGGGTGAAGAAAGAGGAGCCATTAACCTCTTCCCAGAGATCAAAACCGGTCTGATTCCAGTATTTGACAGCATACGCGAGATCCTTGGCAATGACAGGCCAGAGAGTATTTGCCGCCTGTGTCGTGTTACCGTTGGCAATCAGCCAGTTGGCGTACAGAGTCAATGCGGTGGCACGAAGAGGTGGTCCATCGCGCTGAGGGCGACCCCAAGCCCCTGTGAATGCAGTCCGGTCGACGTTGAACTTCGGCTCGCCTAAGCCTCCGGTATCAGGACCACCGGATGGGTTCGACACTGTTTGAATGTACGCCTGGGATGAGACGTATTCATCGAGTTTATTTCTCAGCGTAGTGTCACCAGCGATGAACCGTTCCACAAGCGCCTTGTAGGTTAAAGCGGAGTCTCTTGTCCAGGTATACCAGTCTACAATTTCTCAACCTATGTGACGTGTGTCAAAGTGTTTTCTTTACTTACAGTCCGGGTTTGACTTGGACGGACTCGCAACAACGATGCCCGCTGCTGCACCTTGTGCCTTTGAGCCGTCAGAACCGATGTTGGCAAGCACGCCTTGGATGGAAACAGCTCTCTCGCTAGTGATGAACGTATCGACGGAAGCTTGACGCTGCTCGACAGGCGTGCCATAAGCGCCAGTGAAAAGCAGGGACGCTGGAAGAGCACGAAAGATTGCAGTGAAGAGCATGATGCCGTCGACTTGATGCTTCAAAGATTGCAGTGAAGATGTTGGTCCTATCGCAGGTGGGGTCTCATCCTGTTTTATATCTTGACGTTGGAAACCCGATAGTAGGACCAGTGCGTCCACACTTGCTCCACACTCGGCTCCAGTATACCTAGGTAGCCTTCAGTAACCCCCATCAGACACGATCTGGAGCTGCAGTGGGGACTATACTAGCGTCATGCTACCACGGAAATGGCAATGCCATGATTGTCACAGAGTGTACGTTGCGGGCCGAGGATCATCGAATCGGCTGCCTGCTGGAAGGATGCCCGTATAGATCTTCCGCCAGCGAGCGATACATTTGCGAATCATTATAGAGCAGTGGAGGACACTACCCCGGACATGTGAAGAGCACGAAAGCCAAATTAGACTTCAACCCCGGATTTGACCCCTGCTCATCGGCTCACGTGGCCACGGCTCCTTCCTATCTCGTGCTAGCTGCTCCGGTCTGCCCTCCATGCCGTCAACCTTCATCTTCGTTCTTACACTCCACCACGCTATTGCCAACAAAACGGTCGTTTTCTGAATTACCGTGCCGCTGCCGACGCGAAAACAGCTGCAATGAGATATTTCCTGGCTTCTGAGAAGTGATATGCCGGGCCGACGAAGCATGCACCGTCCGATGCGAAGAGCTAGGCGATTTAGAGAACCGCCGTGCGAACCCGCAAATTTCGGCCCAGACACCAAATCCAAACGCAATGACGCTTCCAAATCAAGGTTTCCTGCTGGCCAGAACACGTGAGAGCCGTGCCAGACTCTCCAAGGCTTCGCTTCGGGGTTGGCAATCACACATGCTGTTGATGCTAGGCCGTAAAAAGACTAGCTCTGTCTGTATGCGGAACAGAAGATCAGCCTTTCATCGTTTCATTCCACGAAACGGAACCTACATGTGTAGACGTTGACAGGCCTTCGAGATCCCGTCCGCACGATCCGCCCTGGTCCGCATCGTTTCGGCTCCAAAGCTTCGTATAGGCTACGCTGTTATGGAGCCAGCTGCGATTTTTTGTAAAGGCATTCTAGACGACGGTCATAATAGAAGCCATGCGTGGATGGTCCGCGGATAAGTCCACCCATACCACCGTATCAAGATCCGACGTGGAGAAGATTGGGCAGTATCCGGCCGACAATTTAAGCACATCATCACCAATGGATATGTCGAGCTGGGTACGCTCAAATGAATCGGTCACGTCACGGTAATTGTGTTTGTATGGTTTAGAGGAAGCATCCTCTACGCAAGGTCACCGGGAAGATCTCAAATACGTTTGCCTTACAGCTTCGCTGATGACCTATCTTGGCCAATGTTCTATGATACACTTTCTACTCATATACCTTCAGAAAGTTCTGAGCTGATAAGGCCTCCTTGCGAATAGTCTCGCTGTGCTTCGCACTTCGAGGTCTGAAACGCACTTTGAAAGGCTCTGGGCAGTGGCTGATCCCTTCATGATACGCATCTGAGTCTAGTGGTACATCGTTTCCCTTTTCGTCCACTTCTGGCAAGATATCAAATGCCCAAAGGAGCTTCGCTGTGATTCGCCATTGCGTGCGCTCAGCAAGGTGCATACCAGGACAAATGCGTCGGCCGGCGCCATAAGCGTAATGATGTATAACCAAGGTCCCGTTAGCTTTGTGAACAAAGAGGGGATAGCAATGAGAATGACTTATCTCTATGCATGTAATCAGGGCTGCCTGCATAGTCGCTTGCTAACCGTGGCATATGTTCATAACGTTCCGGGTTGTATTTGGTAGGGCTGTCAAAGCCCAACTGATCGGCGAAGTGCATAGCCCAAATCGGAATAACAACAGTAGAATCCTTTGGAATCAGCATGCCGTTATACCAGTCGTCTTGGTTGACGCGATGAGGGACACCGAGAGGGAGGCCTGAGTGCCAGCGTACTCCCTCCTTCACTATGCAATTTATGTACGGAAGTGATCCAAAGTCCTGCCAAACTGGTGATCTAGACGAGAGTTAGTACGCTATCAAAAGTACGTATAAGCAACTCGATGAATTAAAGCCTACCTTTCCGTCCCGATCACACGGTCCAACTCCTCCTGTGCTTTCTTCTGCACATGCTGATTTTGGGCCAGCATAAGGATGCTAGTCAGCATACTGCTCGCTGTCGTGTCAGCCCCTCCCTCAACCAGGACTCCCAGGAAATGATTAAGTTGGTGGTCAGTGAGAGGGAAATCCATCGCCTTCTCGCCATCTAATATCCTGTCCACAATGCTAACGCGCTTATCCCCCTGTTGTCTCCTAGATTCTACTCTTCTGCGAGCCTCTGCCCAGGTGCTGTCAATAGCTTTGTAGGACGACCGAGCGCGTTTCACCCAGGGTGCGAAGCGATCAGAGAGGAGTTTGAGGAATGGAAACTGATCTACAGGAGGGTTGGCACCAGGCTCGAGGGACTCGGAGTACTGCAACGTGGTGAGTCAGCAAATTGAGATGGGATAGGATGAGCTATACCTGGTCCATCGCTTTGTACACACACTAGGACAATGTTAGACGAGATATGATCCGGTCTCTCAAGGAGGATCAGCTTACACTGCCCCAGAAATTCTCAAAACTACTTCCCCGGTGTCCCCAGACGACGATGTTCGCCACCGAAGCGGTAGTCCGTTGCATATGTCGATAAAAATCCCCAGGTGTATTTAATAAGTCGTTCAACAACTGGCCGGCTCTGAAATTCCCTTAACACCTAGTTGTTATCATGAAAAGGATCAAGACCTACTCTGCTTCTTGAATTGGCTGTATCTTATCGTCCAGCATGCGGGGCTATGAAGCTTAGCGCAATCCCGTAATATGGGTGATAAGAGGCACGTACGGACAGATTATGCGACGCGACTTTCCTTTCTGATCGCCAAAGTGGCGTATTGTTCATGAAGGCAAAAGAGTCGCCGCCGGTTACGATGCTTGCAACATAATCTATTGGCCGCTCCGAGTATATCGTTCCTTTCTTATCGAGGAGGTCGTGTACAGCTTTTCTATCGTAAAGCACTACCATGGTCCCGTTCCCGAACTTCAACGAGAAAACGCCACCATACTGATCACCCCACTCTTTGAACCTACATGTGGTTAATGATCCTTCGACAAGAGAAAAGGTAGATACTAACTTTTTGTATAGTCCGGTCACGGGGATTTGATGCATGTTTCCAAGAACGGGTAGCGTGGGCGGCCCAGGTGGTAAATATTTCCCCCTCTTTCCGATTTGCAGTAGCCTGTAAATGCCAACTGCAAACAAAATGCCACACATAAACCGAACTACGCCGACTTTTGATTGTATCACATCGAGAAGCGCAGAAGCAGGCATGCCGGCAAGAGTTTGATTCGACATTTTGGTTCAAAGAGGATGCTGCCGACAAGCGTAATTCGCAAAGAAATGTGACCCTAGTGAAAGAACTGCTATAAGAGGTCGAGTGCGAAACCCCTCATGAGGGGTAGTTAGCGGGTATTTCGTGTGTCATTTTGCCCGTGTACATGTGCGAAGTTGAGCCGAAGTTGACTTCCCCATTAAAAAGATCATCTGCGCGCTACGCCAAGAAAACGTTTCCGAACCTAGAAAGGCCGCTGCATTCTCGGTGGAGGAAGATCTCCTCACCTGGTCACTTCTCGAATCATGGGCGAGCAATTATAAGTCGGATGTTTTTGGCAGGAGTGAACCACCATGTCCGCTCTTGTTGTTCGTAAGCGGGACATCATATGACAGCGACTTGACGATCAGTTTGGGCCGTTAAGCAGTAAATGCATGGTGACTACAATGTCGCCATTCTGGTCTCGTGTTAGAAAAACGTCCAGTAATACATAGGTTTGTGATAACATCCAATGCGGTCCGATTCATTCGATATTGCAATGCAGAAGGCAACTCAAACGAGTCCACACATACGTGATGACACCGTGTCCGGGGTTCTTGATTCTCACGTATGAAATCATCCAGGATCTTACACGGTCCATCCTGCACAGGAGGACAAGCATGAAAGTAATGCCTGAATATTTTGTGCATGAGAATAGGCATTAGAGCGAAGTAATGGTTCAACCAGGGACCTAGAGAACAAAATTCGGCGATCCTTCTAAGTGCTCCAATCGGGATAATTCTCGAGACCCTATGACCGACCGCTCGGAACGATCTTCCCCACAAAATAAGTCCGGGGGAAACCTCAATGCGGGGAATTATTTTAAGATCCTCATAACGAATCTGGTTAGCGCGAAGATCCGATCCCTGAACACCAGCTCAAAATGCTTGCAAAACCCCCCTTTTAATTAATCTGATTATATTGATCCGTATTCCTTCTTACCGGGTTGAATCATCTTGTCTTAGTGAACCGCAAAAATGCACAATATGGCCGAGCTCAAGGATCCCAGTGAAGAGATCGAAAACACACCTACACCACCGAATCATGCTCTAAGCCAAGAAGAGGCCGACAAACTTCGATCTGAAGCACTCACAACCACTCAAGGACGACTTCCCGATGGCTACTTTGCTAGTATGCGAGTTATTGGAACGTTTGCTGGGATATCTCTGTGTCTTGTGGCCACCTACTTCGCATTCCAGGCTGCTTCCGGTGTGATCCTAGTCATCAATAACGATATAGGCCCGTCCGAGAATTCGTCACTTTTTAGCATTGTTTGGACAGTTGCTCAGCCCATCAGTATCCTCCTTTTTGGTCGACTATCTGATCAGTTCGGCAGACGCAACTTTGCTCTTGGATCATGTGTCCCAGGTGTGGTGGGCGGCATCGTTGCTGCTACTGCGGAGACGATGAACACCTTAATCGGGGCTATGGTCTTGTTAGGTCTAGCTTCTGGTGTTCCGGCCTCCTATCCTTTATTGACTGGAGAACTGGCTACGAACAAAGGCAAATTCCTTGCGACACTTACTGTCGTTGTTCCCAATATTATCGCCACAGGATTTGGTCCTTACATTGGACAACGTCTCGTAATCGGTGAGCTTTGACGTCTTCAACTTCCCAATCTCACACCGACTCATTGAAACGATAGTTGCCAATTGGCGCTGGATCTTCTATATTTACCTCATGATGCTGGTACCTGGAGCAGTTGCGTGGTTCATTTGGTATCATCCCCCTTCGTGGTAAGTAAGAACCTTCGTATACATGCAATCTTCGCTAACGTCCAGATAGTAAGTGATCATTTCCATACATTACACTGAGCAACGCCTACATTCAATCATCCTCGAAGAGGCTATTCTCTCGTCCTTTCTAGCTTTATCAAGCGTACCACAACTATTGAACATAGTTTTCCCCTCGACAGGGCTAGGAAAATACTGACTGTGCATTGAATCTAGTCACCCAGCTCCATGGAGAACAGCCAAGAAAGTGGGACCAAGTCAAGAAGATTGATTTTGTTGGCACGTTCCTCCTCGTAGCGGGACTGACCCTATTCCTGCTCGGTATTTCATGGGGCGGCACAAGCGCCTTCCTACCCTGGAGCGCCCCACGAATTCTTGGGCTTCTTGTTAGCGGTTTCATTGCGCTAGTCGCTTTTGTCCTATACGAATGTCTCGCCCCAATTGGGCACCCGATCATCCCGATGCGATTTTTCCGCGACGTTCGTGGCTTTGGCATGATCAACATCATCAGTGCTGTCACTGGCTGCATTAATACCGCGCTATTTATCATCTGGCCATCTCAAGTGGTTCGCATCTTCGGCAGCAGCAACACTGGCTGGGAGCAAACTGCGTGGATGTCTTGCACTGTGAATTTCGGACTTTGGAGTGGCATCATCCTCTTCGGCCCGTTGTTTCATGCTTTGAAACATATTCGATGGCAGTTGATCATTGGATGCGCTTGGATGGTCAGTACTCATGATAGGTGTGCTGAGAGGGGCTTCGAGCTAACAGTCTTAGGCCACCTTCTTAGGTGTCATGACTACGATCAACCAGGAGCACAGAACTGCGGCTATCGCCATTTCGTACTTCGCTTGTCTTCCCATTGGATGGGGTGAAGTTATTACCATGTTGCTGGTACAATACGTAGTCGAAGATCAAGACCTCGGAATCGGTTTTGGTAAGCTCTTCGCTTATGCCTCGACCAACATCTTCTGACTCGTTTACAGCTGTCACGTCTGCCAACAGGACAATACTTGGATCCATCTTTACGGCCATCTTTGTGGCTATCCTCAACAACAAACTCCCTGGAGAATTTCAGAAACACCTGGTCCCTCAGGTAATTGAGGCTGGGTTGCCCGAGTCTTCGGTATCATCGCTCCTGCAAGCCGTGGCCGCCGGCGCATCCGAAGCCATTGCAGCTGTTCCGGGCGTCAATTCAGAGCTCCTTGCGGTAGTGAACGCAGGTGCAGCTGACAGTTTTGCGGGTGCCTATGCATATGTATACTACACTGCTCTGGCGCTAGCTCTTGCTGCAGCCATTGCAGCGATGTTCATCCGCGACATGGATCATTACCTCACTGACCATGTCTCTCGACAGATTTACCACAAGAAGGAGACCCGACATGACGTTCTACTCAAGGACTAATAGATTTCCACGAAAGAATTGCTCTGAGTTAGCTAATCTCCTGCGCCGTGCAGGCATACATCGAGCCGGCTTGAGGTCACTACTTACAGTGACTACCAATAAAATTGGAAAACAAGTTGCGTTGGATTAAGTTGAGTTGAATACCATCTTTCTGCTGTAGAAGATCACTATGAATGTGAAGGTCTCCAAGTCGGAAGTCAAATAAAATGCATTGTTGCGTCCGGGGCTCTCTTGCGATAAAGTATTGTGGTCTCCATTTCTATATATGGTGATGGGAAATAGGAATGCCAGCATGTAAAGAGCGACTTGGAAAAGATTATGGTGATACCTGGCTTGCGAATAGTAGGATCTCACATACCCGGCTATTGAGCACCGGGTCTTAACTTCCGTACACCCATGCACCTGTAATCGCGTCCGGAAATGACGCCGAAATACGATTCTGTTACTCTCATACATTCGTCTTGTATTGCCTCGCTAGTATCTTTGGGATTTCATTAGACCGAAATCGTTCCTAGTGCCTATAACTTAATTAGGCCGACATTGCAGATCCCTCAGAAGATACCCAGACACCGAGACATTCGGTCACGAAAATTTCGGGAAGGTTTAATGTATATAGTTAGGGAGGATCTGCACCATTGCGACGGCTGATGGATTCCTGCTCACACGATTTCGCCATCTCTACACAAGACCACCCATATACCTTGCCCGATTCTGAACAGGCGTTACTACAAAACAATTCGAAATGTCAAATTTACTGAAGGATAAAGTTGGTCTGGTCACTGGAGCTGGATCTCCGTATGGTATTGGGCGGTCACTCGTAGGCGCCATTTCTGCCGCAGGCGCCAAAGCAGTTTACGTATGCGATTTGAACTTGAGCAATATTGCAAGTCTTCAAGAACAAATTAAGGCCACTGGGAGCTCGTGTGAGGTTATTGGTCAACTTCTGGACGTGTCTTCCGAATCTGAAACTCAATCGACACTGAGAAAAATCTTGAAAGAGCAGGGCAGATTCGACTTCTTCTTTGCGAATGCTGGCTTCGCCAATTACAGGTATTCGGGGTAGCACAAGGCTGGGATGTCAAGACACGTCTGACCCATATGGACAGGGACCTGAACAATCTTTCCACCGAGCACTTCGAGAGAGCCATGAGCGTCATGGCGCGATCTATATTCCTTAGTATCAAGTTTGGTGGGAAAGCCATGATGGTGACTTCGGCAGAGAAGCCAACGGCGGGGGGAGCCATCATCGCAACATCATCCTGTGCTGCCTACCTGGGCGCATACGCAGATCTCGCCTATTGTATGGCACAACCAATATCACGATGTACATAGGGGCTAATTGCAGTATAGCTGCTGCGAAAACGACCGTCAATGGACTGGTCTCCGCAGGCTCTGTTCAGCTGTCGACGAGCGGCATCCGTGTGAATGGCATCGCGCCTGGTTTTACTCAGTCGAGCATCCTGACTAGCTCCTCAATTGCTGAAAAAGGGAGCGAATACAAGGTTCAGGCTACAGAAAAGGACATCCAGAGCACACATTCCAAATTTTTTGAGCGCGCGGGGTTGTTGGATTCAGAAGCACAGTCATACTATTATAACCGTATGGCAGACCCAGAGGAGATTGCAAGCATAGGCGTCTTCCTCGCAAGCGAGCTATCCAAGGCGGTCAATGGGCAGGTGATCCTGGCGGACAGTGGTAAGACAGCTGCGGCCACAGGCGAAGCATGCACGGGCAAGGTACCGCGTCTCATACCGCTCGAGGTTTAACATAGGTAGTGTGAAGGTAGAGGAACAGGTACAAAAGGCCTTGCATAGATAGATGGTGCTCCTGAATCCAATAATTTGGCTGTTACCAAAGGCTGTGCAGTTTTTCGATAGTGCTGAACATGGTGCGTGCTACAGTGATGACGTCAGGTAGACCAAGCTAAGATTCGATGCATGGATGAAAATTAGATTTTCGGAGGAATTGATTCGATGAATGGGAACACGCGAAGTGCGGCCGCCGAAAGCTGGGAGATTTTCTGGTTGCTTCCCCGCAGATACGGTAAGACGGGGTCCGGGAAAGGGGACCCCAGATCTGATGTCCCTGTTGGGCTGAGCTCCGAAGACAACCCGAAGTCGTTCCACAGCCTTGTTCTACCACCCTCTTCCCAGGTTAGACGAGCTCTACAAGAAAGTGTATGCTCTTGCGGACCCTTCGCACACTGCATATGCTTTTTCAAGTTACGTCGACTTCCTGATTGTCCTTGCTATAGCCATGTTGTCGTTAGGCCTGATTGGCCTCGCTCTTGTGCTACTCTTTTTCTACGGCGTGTACAAATTGCTTCAGGTTGGCAAAAGAGATTCACGACTCCCACCTGGTCCCCCTACCGTGCCGATACTGGGCAACGTACACCAAATCCCAAAGACGGGTCTCGGAAAGAAGTACGACGTGACTCCACCCAGTCATACCACCCCAATACAGTTTTGCTGATTGCTTTGTCTCTAGGTTCGAAGAATGGTCGAAGGAATATGGCTCTATATACTCGCTCAAAGTGTTCAACGGCACTTGGGTCATTCTTGCGGATCGCAAGTCAGTCTCCCAGCTTCTCGACAAAAAAGGTAGCATCTATTCGGACCGGCCACCCCTTCCAATCCCCCTCTTCATGTCGAGAAACGCCCACATGACCATGGAGCCACAAAGTCCTCTGTGGCGTGAGAAGCGATCGGTGGTCACCCGCAACCTTGGACCCAAGATGTTGGACGAGAAACATTTCAAAGTCCAGGAGGCTGAGTCTACAATTTTCATGAAGAATATCCTTGATCATCCAGACGAAGTCTTCGACTACTCACGACTTTATTCCGCTTCGGTGGCTGCCGTCTTGGTGTACGGGAAGCGAGCTCCAACGCTCGATTCATTCTTCAACAAACGCTTTTATAACTTTATGGACCAGTGGCTAGAAGCGATCGAGCCCGGAGCGAATCCTCCAATTGAAGTTATCCCAGCTTTATGGTATATGCCCGGTCATTGGAAAAAAAGGGCATATGCAGGTAATTTCCAGCCTCTGGTTCACTCTGAGTGCCACTGATAATTCCCAGTCCGAGATACCATGGACAAGATCTGGGAGGAAGCACGATCCATTGTAGATCGACGACGGGAACGTGGAGAACGTAGAGATTGCTTGATGGAACAAAAAATGGACGAGTACGAAAAGAAGGGCTGGCCCATGTCTAGACATGCTTTCAATAACCTTGGAGGAGAACTCTTGGAGGCTGGAGCGGATAGTAGGTCTTTCATGAAATACTCATCTCGGACCTATACTGACTCATCCTTCAGCTACGGCAAACATGATACTGACGCTCATCCTGGCCTTTGCCAAATTTCCCGACGTGCAAATCAAGGCCCGCAAAGAACTCGATGAGGTTGTCGGAACAGACAGGACTCCACTGTTCTCCGATTTTGATAAGCTACCATATATCAACTGCATCATCAAGGAAGCTCTTAGGTGGCGGCCGACGTATGAGTCACCATCTTCAAAATACTGCTTCTTTTTGTACTGACTGTCAAAATGTAGATCTGACCTTGGGTTACCTCACATGGTCTCCCAGGACGATTACTACGATGGAATGCTCATTCCCAAGGGTAGTGTCATTTGGGTAGCTATATGGGCGATGCATCAGGATGAAGGTCTCTACGCAGACCCTGAAGTCTTCAACCCTGATCGCTTTCTCCAGCACCCGAAGCTTGCCAACGAATACGCCGTTGGCGGCGACAGTGAGGGTCGCGACCACTATGGCTATGGAGCTGGGCGCCGTCTCTGCCCTGGAATCCATTTGGCTGAACGTAGCATGTGGCGGGTAGCTGCCAAGCTGTTGTGGGCGTTCGAATTTGCGGAGCCAATCGATCCCGTTACCGGTAAAGTTATTCCACTCGATGTCAACGCGTACACGAGCGCAAATCTTGTAAGACCTATGGAATTCAAGGTCAGAGTTAAGCCAAGGAGTGATAAGCATCTGAAGGTGATGGAAGGAGAGTTGTCTGGGGCAATAGAATTCTTGAAGCAGTTCGAGTAGCCATGATCTGTGGAAGAGCCGCCGATATAGCATCGTATTCAGCCCAATTGAGATCATGCATGGGGTGCTATTAATTTCTGAACAGCACTATCGAATATTATAGTACTGGAGACTGGCAGCTAACTCGCTGCCGCGGAAACACCCTAAGTCGCGTCGAGATTTGCATTCATATGTCACATTTCATTGTTCGGGTCACGCTGTTACTACTTGTTTGCGCAAGCTATAAAACTCTGAGATGCAAGTCCAAATTAATGCTGTACATGCATACACCAGATATCCTTTGTTTGATTATCCGGAAGCCATGAGCATCACTTGTATTATGGTCACTTTACAACACACCCACGAAGAACACGATCCAGCTCATCCGTCCATTACCGTAATCTTTTATATTGTTCGATGTATACATACGCATCGGGTTGATTGGTTCGCTTTGATATTTGGGTGTTCATATTGTTACGATCGATTATTTTGAACTGGAATCAGTTCGAAGCAAGGCCAAATCCCTCAATTTCCTCCATCTCTTCGCCCAAGGCATTTCTGATCATATATTTGACATGATCCAAACAGCCGGTCGGGAGGTACACGTTTCCTATCTTACCCTGAACCTCGTCCCAATTCTCCAAATACTCCTCAGCTGTGCTCTTGTTCACGGCACCTGGAAAAGTAGCAAAAGTCTCTCTTGCGGCACGTCCAGCGCCAACGCTGAATAGCTCGCCACTAATCGGGCACTCCCTAGAAGCTAGAACAACAACGAAAGGCGCTATCTTGGTGGGGTCGAAGTACGTCTCTGTAACCTTCTTCGTTCCTGGAGCGATGGTAGTCATTCGACTTGTACCCGAGGGCAAGACACCATTGATCTTGATCCCATCTCTCTCTGAGTATCGGCCCAATTCTCTCGTGATAGCAAACGTCGCGCCCTTGGATGCTGCATAGGCACTATCTCCACCCGCACCAAATCCATAGACTGCGTTTGATGAGATGTTGATAATTCTTCCGTACTTCTGTTTTGCCATCAAGTCATAGACAGCGCTCGTCATCATGGTCGTTCCAAGGACAGATACTTCCATCACGCGCATGAAGGAAGCAGCATCCACGTCATCATGGGAGCTTATCCTGCCCAAGATACCAGCATTGTTGATCAGAATATCGACGCGTCCAAAAGCCTGCACTGTCGCCGCCACTATGAACTTGGCGTCTTTGGATACGTCCCCCCCCGTTGGCAATAGCAGTCCCCCCGGTTTTGGTGATCTCATTGACCACTTCCTGTGCGCGTGAGATGGTTCCAGCCACTCCATCTAGAGAGCCACCGTAGTCATTGACGACCACCTTGGCGCCCCGTTCGGCAAGCGCGAGGGCATATAATCGGCCGAGGCCACCACCAGCACCTGTAATTATTACGACTTGGTCCTTGACCGACATTTTCGGCTCCGGCGAGAGAATAAGTTTCCGAGGAGAGGATAAGTGTATCGATTGGAATGGAAAGGAGTAATAATGAATTTTTAGAGCAATGTGGTTGTGAGCGTACTTAGTTCGAATGTAGGCGATTACTTCAAAGCCTGAAGCCAGCAACACTGCACTACCCTGCAAACACAACAGAGATTGTGATAGGTCGCACTATCTCGACAATTACTCGCGTGAAGCTGATCCCGGCAAAGTGACCCCGCAATGCGACCCCGCGAGACTATGCGGGGAAAGAGTGCGAAGTTGGTCCGTGGAAAAAGCTACCGGATGGCCCTCGGTACACACACAGATCTTATCACACCAAGGCCGTTGCCCCGCGACAAGGCCAATCCCCCCGCTTCAAGACCTGATGTGCACAACCTCCGATCAATCCGAGTCACATGACGACTTGTTTCCCCCGAAGTCTATGTTATGTCATGCCACCAGCACGTACTGAAATTTCGACAGAGGATCTGGAAACAAAGTATGTTGCAGGCTTTAACAATTAGTTCAGCTGAAGATGTATTGGGCGAAGTAGCTGTAGTGCAGAAAATCATTGGAGTATATGCGTCATATTGGACAAACGTTTTCTCGATTGCTTTCTTGCTAGGTGCTCAGTTGTCTTAAACATGATACATCACGTCGTGCTGTCTACATTCCTCTCAAAGCCATCTACTCGAACGTGATTACTGCCCGTCCGTGCAATTTTCCTTCCCGAAGTAGACTGTACGCCTCAGGGATCTGATCAAATGAAAACTTCTGCACATCCATTCGCAGCCGCCCATCTTTTGCCAACTGACACACATCCGCCAGATCTTTTCGGGTTGATCCCAAGGATACCGCGAACTCGCAGCTTGTAGCCATGCCGCCCCAGCCCACTTCAATGGAACCACCCTGCATCCCGACCAAAACGATTCTTCCTTGTGGGCGCGATATCGCTGCTGCAATTGACAAAGTTTCTTTGCTCCCAACAAAGTCAATGATAAAATCAATGCCTCTTCCCTTTGTCAGATCCATGACCTGTTCAAAGGCGTTCGTATCCGATCGAACGACTTCAGCTGCCCCGAGCTCTTTCGCAAGGCTCAAGCGCCTATCAGAAATGTCAAAGGCCAATATTCTAGCTGTTGTCATGATCTTTAAGAATTGTACGCCGTAGGCACCCAGTCCGCCGATTCCAATGAGGCCAACAGTCGAGTTAGGCTTTACCCTATGCACAAACGTTTGCATGGCATGGTATGCTGTAACTCCTGCATCCGTGAGAGGGGCGTACAGAACTGGGTCACTGTCTCCAATTGAGACGACCTCTGCACGAGGCACGACCATGAATTCGGCCAAACCCCCATCGATTCCGCACCCACGCGTCATATTTATACTCCCTCTTTTGAATGCCTCGCAATGTTGCTCCGCTCCGCTAATGCAGTAGTCACACACCCCACAATGGCGCATATGATGGACAACAACACCTTCGCCTATTTTTAAATCGATGACTCTATCTCCAAGCTCTTCGACTGTTCCCGCATTTTCGTGCCCAAGTATGTAATTGCTGGGAGTAGACGCAGCGTATGGCTCCGAACCAGGCGCCGAATCCATCATGTCGAGGTCCGAATGGCACAGTCCGACACCCTTCATTCTGACGAGGATCTCCCCATGACCAGGTGCGGGCTTGGGCACTTCCACGTACTGGGCAGGCTGACCCCATTCAACGATTTTGTAGGCTCTCATTGTTCGGATAGAATAAGGGCGGTATCCATAGATACGATGGGTGGATGCAATTGCAGACGTAAGTGGTGACAAATGAATTGTGTCCTTACAAGATGTTGATTGATTGAATGAGGAAGCGTCATCTCGCGGGTCCGCTTATTAGTACACTGATGAATACCGATCACGAAACCACCAATGCTAGCGCTAGACTCGTTGACTCCATATATGGGGGTGACATACTTTACAACGCAGGAACTTCGGAGCAATTGCTGGCGCTATCTAAAGCACCATTGTTTGCGAAATCATGGTGTACTTCATGCTATACAGTATATGTTGCAGGAGAACTTCCTTCTTTCTAAGAATCAAAGTCGTTGCAAAGGCTACTAGCGCTTTCACGATCCAAACAGGGTTTCCGTGGGACCATGAGATTTTAGCTTTCAATCCTTAATCCATGTACACCGATAGCACATAAGCATCTGCCATTTCTACATGCACGCGTACTTGCTCAGGCTGCCGTGAAAACACGCTCAGTGTCCTTGCCCTGCGCCCAAATCTTCTTCAAATGCATCCTGGAGATCTTCCATCCCTGACTCGTCCGCTTGAATTCGAACTTGTATGGACCGCCAAACGCGTAGTGCACCTCAGGCTGCTTCACGGCGGGTGTGGCGCAGAACCAGAGATACGCCGTCCCCGTAGCGGAGTCGGAGCCATCAACATTGAATTGCATGTTGGTCATGGAGTGCTGCAGTCCTTCGAACCGTTCCTCGGCCGAAGCTGCCTTCGCGATGGCCTCTTTCCCGTGTGTGTCGCCCCACTCTTCGAAAGTCATGATGGCATCGTCCGTGTAGGTGTTGGCGTAGCCTACCCAGTCGTGCGCGTCGGCAATGTTACAGTATTCGTTCAAAAGCGAACAGAGAGCCTCTTTATCCTCAAGAACCTGCAGACGCTTCTGGAGAGATTGAACGATTTGTTCGGTTTGCGACATATTGAACGAGACGAGAAGGAGTATAGAATGGGATGGTGACCACGTGGCTGTCAGATTTCGACGTGTGGACTACCGTATCATATAATTCGAGCGGAATTGTTATACGTCAAAGAGCACTTTGAGCTAGTCAGTCGTGCGAAGATGGAATATGGGGTAAGCCACAAGTGTGTGCGGGAGTGTTCCCGAAGTCAGTCCGGATGCCCGCCGAGCCCGCCGGTGTAGAACGCGAGCTTTCCAATATCGGCGGCTCCGTTTCCAGAGGGGTATTTGAGGATACTCTCTATCGTAGAATGAATGTAATCTATGAAAACTCCGTAATCGAAGAAGCAACGAAAGCACTGACCGGTCAAGATGAACGGAAAAGTATTTGCAGTCACCGGAGCCGGATCTGGTATTGGCAGAGCTACAGCCGTCAGACTAGCCGAGCTTGGTGCCTCTGGGCTCGCCCTCAGCGACGTGAACACAGCTGGTTTGGAAGAGACGAAAGAATTATGTAACGGTTGCGGTGCACAGAAGATTCCTGGGCTAGAGCTAACCGAGGAAAGGTCGTCAATACCTAGCTGAGATCATCCTGGAAAAGGTGGATGTAAGCAAGCCACAAGAAGTAGAATCGTGGATGAAAGCATGCTTTGAGAAATTCAAGCGGCTTGATGGCGCTGCGAACGTTGCTGGCGTTGCGGGTGGAACTGGGGACACGGTCATGGAGACCATTGTGAGCATCACAAGGCCGCTGCAGAATGACCCACTAATAGCAATCCAGGTACAAAGCGACTGGGACCGTACGATTGCCATTAACCTAACCGGAGTCATGAATTGCATGCGCGAGGAATTGAAATACATTGCGAAACCTGGTGGTGCAATTGTAAACATCTCTAGCACGTCCGGTCTTCGTGGATTTCCGCATAACGGCGCCTACGCTTCGAGTAAGTTCGGAGTTATTGGCTTAACGGAGTCAGCGGCAGGTGAGTATGGAACGAAAGGCGTGAGAATCAATGCTTTATTACCGTGAGTCTAGTAAAACCCTAGGTGCACTGAAATCTCACACAGACACGTTGTAGAGGGCCTATCGACACCCAAATCTTCCGAGACGGTGAGGCAAAGGGGATTTTCAACTCTACGACTGTCAGTGCGGATACTCTGATGAAGCGCATGGGTAAAGCAGAAGAAGTCGCTAAAGTATTGTGCTTCTTGCTCAGTGACGACGCTTCATACGTTACCGGAGGTAGGTACACCCACATGAGCATCAGTACCATGCTTACTGTATCTCAGCACACTGGACAGTGGACGGTGGTTACGCAGCGTGTTAAATGGTGGTATACACGCAATTTGCAGCATCCCAAGATAAATACTGCACAATCTAAATCTTGTTGCATCCATACGAATTATGTACCAGTGAGAGGCAGATAATGAGCGCAAGGGCAAAACCCACGCGAATGCAAGCAACACGTCAGCTCTGATTCAGCAAAACCGCCACATATGTTCAATAGCTTCCACAGCAAGATATATGGTATAATTCCAAAGAAGCTTATTAGCCACCATGTTCACGTATAGTCGTCTGGACTTAAGATGGACATGCTTATTGGTCTATGAACAATTACTATGGTTTTCGCTCAGATTATTTCAGCATATCTTTGGCTCCATCGCCTCAAAGTGAGAGTGTGTTAGCAGTGATGCTGCAGTCACTCTGAGCTCATTTGTGCCGCCTATGAGATGTTGAGATCTCAACAGATTGAAACCAGGTACGATCGCCGTCCGCAGCGGAGCCCCTGATCCATGACTTAATTGATCCGGAATCGAACGATGTCCAGCCTAGGACACCACCAAAAGATCAAACTACTAGACCCAAAACTCCTGAAATTATGGGTGAACACAAGATGGCGTGAGTTCATTTGGCAACTTCAACGTCATGTGCGTACGCGCTGTGGGCGATGCGGGCTATCTTCGGGGCAGCACTTTTCCCATGCAGTTAGTGCGGTTCTCTCGCAGCTACACTAATGTACCCACTAGCTCATACACGGTATCTTTCTCCCGCATGTGCCTGGTGCGGATAGCGAATATCTTCTCGATCATTTGTCCTCACTCCCGCACCTTTACAGGCACGACAAAATAATTCTCTTCTCACACAAATGGCGACTACCGATGCTTCAGCGCTTAGCGCACCAGTAGTGGCCGAAAACGATGGCAAGGTGAACGGTTTCCATGATGGTGCTGGGCCTAACGGTGCACCCACTGCGGAGGTCGAGACTGATGTTTTGATCGTTGGGGCTGGTCCGGCGGGCGCGTCATTGGCGTGTTTTCTCGCTTCCCACGGCAAGAGAATCATTACACTAAAGCTTGACCAATGTTGCGACTAATCCATGGCCAGGCTTGACAGGTATTATGATCAGTTCGGCATCGAGCAGTGCAGATACTCCGCGTGCACACATCACCAGTATGGCAGCATTAGGTACAGTATCGTCGCACGAACGCATAATGTCCTGCTGAGAATGTACGCTAGAGTGCCTAAGAGACATCGGACTTGACGGGGAATGCAACAAAGTTGCCACAAAGGGTGATTGTATGATGCACACGCGATGGTGTCACAGCATGGCAGGCGAGGAATACGCCCGTGTCTACTCGTGGGGCAATGATCCTTTGCGAAAGGTGGCTACCAACTTAGACTGTGTCATCGTTAAGCCGCCTTCTGACTTTACAAGGGCGACTACGAAACTGCAAGCCCTTGCGTACCCTCCGACCTTCCGCAAACTCTATTGGAACCTCTTCTAATACGGTACGCAACGCTCAATGGCTTCAAATGCCGGTGGAACACCACGTTCCTTTCGTTGCAACGAGATTCGACCGACTCTGGACCCACCACTACAACGGTGCAAGACGACCTGACAGGCCAGACTTACCAAATTCGTTCGAAATTTCTCTTCGGAGCGGATGGCGCGAGAAGTCGTGTGGTTGAGCAAATCGATCTTCCTCTCCGCGTCAAGCCGGGGCAAGGCCTTGCCCTTAACGTACTCGTCAAGGCAGATCTCACACGTCTGGTTGAAAATCGGAAAGGCAATCTGCATTGGATCATGCAGCCGGGCCACGACAACCCCGACTTTGGCTGGATAGGCATCGTGCGTATGGTTAAACCATGGCATGAATGGATGTTCATCATGTTCCCAAAGGCTGGGATGGAACTGAAGGTCAGGCCTTCCAACGAGGAGCTCTTGCAACGGGTGAAGGAGTTCATCGGTGATGACTCGATACCTGCCGAAATCCTGGGTGTATCCCGGTGGTACATCAACGAGACAGTGGCAGAGCAATACTCTCGAGGCAACGTGTATGTTCATGGATCCCTGGTGAGGAAAATCCAAGCTAATGGAAACTAAGGTTTTGCCTGGGTGATGCTGTGCACCGCCACCCGCCGTTCAATGGTCTGGGCTCAAATACGTGTATCCAAGATGCGTTCAATCTGGCCTGGAAAGTCGCCTATGTCCACAAAGGCCTCGCTGGACCATCTCTCCTATCATCTTACAGCGTCGAACGCCAGCCGGTAGGTCTAGGCATCATCACACGAGCCAACACCGCGTTCCGCGAACATTTCAACGTGTGGAGCTCTCTAGGAATTTTGCCCGAAGACAGGGAAGAGTGCAAGAAGATGTTTGCAGAGTTGTCGTCATCGTCGCCTGCTGGTCGCGAGAGGCGTGTGGCGTTCCAGAGCGCGGTGCGCCACAGCTGTCACGAATTTCACGGACTCGGCATCGAAATGGGTCAGCGGTACACAGGACCAGCTGTATACTCAGCTGATGAGACTGAAAAATATCGACCCGACGCCCTGACTGCTTCTGATCCGGTCCTGTATCTCCATCGCAACACGTATCCTGGGTGCCGGCTTCCACACGCCTGGCTCAACACAGCGGCACCCTCCGCTCCCATCTCGACGATCGACCTTGCAGGCCATGGCGGCTTCACCCTCCTTACCGGAATTGGAGGCGATGCCTGGAAACCTGCCGTAGGCGAGGTGAGCCGGACGCTAAGGGTCCCAATTGTCGCCTACTCGATCGGTTTCCGACAGGAATGGGAAGACGTCTATTTCGAATGGGAGAAGGTCCGAGGCGTTGAAGAGAGCGGCGCCATCTTGATAAGACCGGACAGATTTGTGGCATGGCGAAGCCAGAAGGCCTACGGCGACGTGGATGAGTGCGCCGGCCACCTCACTAAAGTCATGAGAAGCTTGCTAGGGTTGACAAAGGGAGACATAGCAAAGACTGTGTCGACATGATATGTAAAGACTGGGAGTTCAAGGTACATGTTATACATTAATGAGTTACTACTTCGACCAATACATCAAGTAACATACAGTTGCGACAATCAAAGTCGCAGTGACACCATTTAGTCGACGTATTCGTTCGTGATTGATCAAGCTAGCGATGTAGCAATAACCAGAAAAGTATAAAGGGTAGGTTGGAGATAATCTTCAACCAGGGTATGAACCACTCAGTAATTCGTTTAGATAGGAAGATAGCATTGTACTGCTATCTCCAATCCCGAAATCGAATGAATAGCCATCCAGATCAAGCACATCTTGAGTTTGAGGTGCCATCATGGATAGTGAGTCCTTAATTCCAATGTTGGAGAAGTTTAAGCCATCTTGAGGCGCGCTGGGATCTACATTCAAGGGATCGACAAGAGTTTCAGATGGAGGCGGGTAGCCTTGCGTGCCGTTTTGTGGAATAGCACCGGAAGGATAGTTGTTCGTGCTGGACAGAAGCTCGCCGCCATTCGTATTCTGCGGACTAATCGTGTGATCGTCTAGGTACAGTTTAGCTACTATTGGCTCCGTGTCGTGCACTAAGTGCTGAGGAATCCTACCATTATTCACGACCGAGCTTCTGCGATCGGTCTCTGCGTTGCGATGGTCCCCAACCCAATGCTTTTCGACACTTCCATTTTGTACGCTTTGCTTCCGTTGTTCGCTTGGGATGCGCCCTGTATTATTGGCTAAGCCACCTCCACCTCCTGCCTGCTGAGACTCATGGAAGCGTCCAAGTTGGTGCTCGAGAGCGTCGAGGTTCTGTCCCAAAGCAGTCGAAATGTTCCAATAACGGACATATTGATTGTACATCAGAAACAAGACCTCGTACTTGGATTTGGCAAGCGTTTTATTTGTTGATGCGGAACCGAATTCTTTCCGGACTAGCTGAACGGCAGCGGCGAGCCAGACTGTGCTCGCAAGGAATGGGTTCATGTACCGGTAGTGCTCATCAGAGCTGCGATCGACTATGTTCAGAATGTTGTCGGCCGCCTCAAAATATCCATCGATGGCCATTGTGTCATGGCTAGCATTGGTGTCACCAGACGTGTCATTCCTGGCAGGACTGGCCTTGGCGGTCACATCTTTCCGGACAAGAGCCGAGCGGCCAGTACCTCCGAAGACTCTATAGTGGTGAATCATGAACCTCGTAAGTTGAGTCATGAGATGTATGCTGTAGATAGCACTATGAAGATGGCGTGGGGATTTGATCGATCCTGGAGCCTTCGTCTGGAACCCAAGATACTGATTGCGGTACTTCAAATGCAATGGCAGTGCCAAACTGAAACATCGAAGCGAGTTGTAGATGGTGGAAAGCTGGTCGCCGCTACCCCTCCTGGGGCGATTCATGTTCTTCTCGTGGCCGTTGGATTGAGTTGTCCGAGCACTGCGTTCGAGATTTGAGGAATGGTAGATTCCTCTCGGGCTCGAGATTGCCTGTGCTTCTTTCATCAGAGAATTGACCACGATGAACCAAGCTTTGGGAGAGTTGTTGCCACAGTGGAGCAACACTTTCCAGCGATTGGTGAGCTCCAACTCCAAAAAGCAACTGGGATGTGCTTTGCCTTCGAACCAGTGCTCGTCTTCGACCGGTAGGTAGGTCTCGTTCTGGGACCAGTCTACAGCTGTAGGACACCGCCTTATCGTACTTGCGAATGTGTCCATCTCCCAGATAGCCCACCAAGTGCGTCTGCGCTCCTCCTTATGGCACCACTGCGCTGCATCCTCTGCTTGATCAGTGCTGGTCCCTTGCGAGTCTAATAAGTGAAGGTTTAATTCGTATGCGACGCGGACGCAGGTACCAAGGTGCCTCCACGCACGTCCACGCACGCCCCGCGTTAGCATTTGATGCGTCACCAGGACAAGAGCTTGGAGCAGGACCAACGGGGGAGCATCATCTCCACACTCGCGGAATGCCTCCTCAATGTACTGCAGAGCCAGATCACCATACTGTTCAGCACCCACATATTGTTTGACAGCTTCCCCAAGTTCGACGTCATGAGCGGCGAATCGAACGCCGAAGCTCATCATTGCTGCGAGCAGAGCTGTGACCAGATTGAAGGAAGTACATCTGTGGAGGCGCGCTTTGAACGTCTGCGGCTGAAAGAGCGTGAATGAGGTAAAGTTATCAAAAATCACGTCTAGATTGGAGAAATAATTGCTCAGCTCTGGCTGAGGTAGAACAGGCAGTAGGAGATGACGTGAGGAATGAGAGAGTAGAGTACGTTACATACAATTGATCTAGCGATTCTGATGTGATTGAAACAGCTGCACAAGCCCTGGAAACTATCATGGGCTGTCCAGCCGAGGCCAGTTCATGTGGAGAATTGAGCGAGCCTTTGTCCGTCGTCGGCGTACACGGGTCGTGCGAGGGATGCACTATGAAGTACAAACTTTCGATATTGACGGATTGCGAAGGGGGGCTGCAAGCATCGGGACTGTCTGGAAACATGGGTGCTTCAGTCCTGCCACCATAGCCCTCCCTGCCAGAAACGGGAGAGGGTGGGGTTTGCTGAGGAGGACGGTTCAGCTGGGTATTAGCGGTAGGAATTTCTGGTAGTGACATGGGGCGATTCGAGGGTCGGGCGTGGTCGCCGAAGTCGACAAGCCACGATTGCCCAGGCGGAGAGCCTTCATCGTAGCTCTGGCGCGCGCGCTTGCGGGCTCGTTGGCGGGTTCCTAGAGAAATATACTCAGTGTCTCGCCCTCTCGCATAGCAGGGAAGGATGTGGTACCAATCTTTGGGCCGGGTTTGGCTGGGCCTCCAGGATACGCGCAGGACTGGTTTGACTCTTTACATATGTGGCAGCACGGCAATTCGCGGCCACTTAATACAGTCAGCCTGGGCGCGTGCATCGAGCAGCATTGGGACATACCATTTGATTTTCCTCCTGCGAGCACGACGTTAGCGGTATGCGCATGGTTCGAAGGCCTCATGCGGGGGAGCCAGCCACGCACCTCCGACAGACATGACAAGCGATCTTGGAGAAGCGGGCCGGGTCCGTTGTGGAGTCGCTCATGGCGATGAAAAGGCAAACAGTGTCGGGCGGTGGTGATGGAAGCTCGAGCACAGGGTCGTGGTGAATACAATTTTTGGCTATCCGCGGAGAGCATCGCCTCGCCTAGGGTACAGGGCACACAGGGGTCCCGAGGTCGTGCGGCGGCCCCTGTCGACATGCCCCGCCAGCGTGCATAAGATTGCGGGGGTGCGGGGGAAGCCAGTCGCTGGCCTGCCGTTTGTCGTCTGTGGCGTCCTGGCGGGTTGCTAAGCATTGTCGAAGCCGCTATGTGCGATTAGGGTTAGGGTTAAGCGCGGTGCGGACAGACTTCGGGTCAACTCCGGATAGGTATGCATGCTGAACTTATAATGACTCGTCTGATACGTACTGTGTATGCTCCGCGCGATCCACACTCGCGTACGTATGGACGGGATGCCAGCGGCAGGGATCATCGCTTGGGCAAATGCCTCGCATGTTAAAGTTGCCATATTGGATTGCTTGTGAGGAACATAAGCAGTGCTCTTTGGCCAAACCGAAATGACTTCGCCGCTCGCTCTCCAGCTGCTAGTCGTCCCCCACCGTCCGGGGCCTGCTCTGGACGAGGTCCTCGCTGACCTTACCCCTGCACTCGGCACCCTGGAAAAGTACCCAGCTCGCAGCCCATCATGAATGTCATTCTTGCTAACACTGTCACAGGGCTCCTGGATTGCAAGGCGCTTTGGATGGGCAAGAAGTTCGAAGACCGCTATACGCTGGTATACCTGATCCTGTGGAAAGATCTTGCATCCAGTCATGCATTCTTCACGGGCACAGCGTATCGAGACTTCCACAAGCTAGTGCAGCCCGCGCTCAACGGCCGTAAGGTCCAATGGCAGCAGCATGCATTGCTTGACCAATCGGCTTGCAGCTCAGTGGAACATCTCCGCAGCATTCTCTCCTCTCCCGCCCTCGAGGTTGCTCTCACCAAAGTTGTCGAGGGCGGCGTCCACGGCTACTACGAGCAGTTTGCCAAGGTGGTGGATCCTATCCTGCGCGACGAGCCTGGAGCAGATGGCCACTTCATCAGTCCTCTGATCGAAAATCCACAGGACCAGCTGCTGCTGATCAATTGGAAGTCCGTCCATGTGAGCACTTCCATTGGGCTTTGTTGCGAAACCCTGGCTTACGTATAATCAGGCACATCACGAAGACTTTGAGAAGCGTCCGGGCTTCAAAAACTGCATTGAAGCTCTCCAAGAATACTATTCTGTTTTCGTGGTGCCATGGCATATCGTAGAGATGAAGTTGATTGCGGGCACAGCTCCGTAGAACATATAGCAATTCATAGTCTGTGAAAAAGATTCATGGCCATCAATCGCCTTTTATAGCCCGGAACGTTCGCTGTATAACATGATGTTTTGGTCCCGCATAGACGATGTCGGAACGGAGACCCAATCCCAAGACCCAACTCTAATAGTCCGTGGTGAGAAGGCTGATTTTCGGAAAAAACACCATGATCAGAAATGTCAGGCACTACCCGGTCAGATGCGCCTTCCAACGTGTCCTTGTTTTTGGCAAGTTCCAAGCCATTACAGAACTAATTACTATATTTCGTAGTGTACCTCGTTGATCAGGGTTCCTATCTTCTCTACATAGACTCTCATATCATCTCCATCCTTCAGAACAACCCTCGGGTCTCGCATAAAACCAATGCCTGGCCCAGTTCCTGTCATGACGACTGTTCCCCTCTCAAGCGTGGTTCCTTGGGATAGGAACGACACAACAGTGGCAATGTCGAAGATCATCTCTCGTGTGTTGGAGTCTTGAACGACGTTTTTGTTGTGGATGGCTTTGATATCCAGTGCGAGTGGATTGATGACAGAGCTGGCAACCAACACTGGCCCGATGGGCGCTGATCCATCGAGTCCTAAATGCTCCTGTTAGTGTCGCATACTTGGACTAGACCGTTGAGACTCGTCACCTTTTGAAAAGCACCACTGTGATCTTGGTCAGCCTTGCGTAACATATACTGGGGCTTGCTTTCGCTCACCTGACTGTTCTTGAATTGCTGAATACGCGCGCTGACGTCGTTGCCACACGTGTATCCCAGAACGTAGTCCAACGCGTCCTCCTTCTTAATATCTCTCCCATCTTTCGAGATGATGAAAGTCAACTCGGCTTCGTAATCGCTCGAGCCGTCTTGAACGAATTTGGGCACATTGATTTTTGCTGGCCAAGGTCCATTGATCGCAGTCCTTGGCTTGATGAATAGTACTGGGTCTTTCGGGATGTCCATGTTCGCTTCCCTCGCGTGGTCCTTGTAGTTGAGCCCCATGCAGCGAATGATGGGAACGTCCGCTGTCGAGACGGGAGAGAGGAGCTATGTGTTCATGTCAGCTACTGTGCATTCTGGAACAGGTGAACGGGGTTCTAACATATTTAACGTGCATCACGCGTTCTACTACGACGCCATCGTAGATAGACCCTAAGACCAATTTTGCCTTTATCTTCTTGCCCTCAAACGCCGACAGGCCAACGTCTGGATGCTCGTTGGCGTCGATCTGACCGAGGTGCACCTGGCCGTCCTCTTCGGCCACGAAGCGAATCAGATGGGTCCAATTTGGCAACATTCTAGCGTGTGTGTCTGTGCGTATTCGTGTGTGGACAGATGTGTTGCCCTAGGTCTGATCAAATTCAATGTGGATGCAGTGAGACTGTGATATCGTCGCGGTGGGAACTCAAGGGCTTTCACTATTTCGTACTGTTGACAAGACGGTACTGTTCTGCGTCATTAGACTAGTCTGCAACATGATTGGCTCGGCTACGTAGCTTGGGACATTTTTGTAGGCAACGCTATTGCTGCTAGCGTAGAGACCTCCCGCAACGATTTCGGACTATCTCGAATGCCCGCCGATATACGCGCCGATATACGCCCCGAAGTTATCATATATCACAGATGATGATTGAGTTTTAGAGTCGCCGAATATAGAGGGCCATCCGATCTAAATGCAATGCTCCGTCAAGGATTACCCCAACTGTTTCTGTCGTGATTGCATCTGTGTCCACAGTAATTTGAAACATCGACTAATGTGCTTCGCACGTCCTGTAATACGAGGGCTCACGTATACAGAGTCAAAACTTAGGTCTCTATGACAAGCTGTGTTTGATCAGGTCCGCGCTTCGATATTGTGTTGCAGTTCAATGCATACTTGTCTATGGGTAAGGTAGAATACACTAGGTATTGAGGCCAATCCAACGAATTTCACTATCGTAGATAATGTGGTCGGCAATCATCCCTTGTTTTTCGGTACCTGCTCAATGTGCCCATTGAACGCTTGCGATTGATGTAGTTCAGAACGCACGATAGTATCTCTCAAGTCACCGAATACCTTCTGGTATGGTTCAGATGCCTGGTAAGCTTCGAAGTCACACTTTTGTCGTGTCCTAAGTCAATTTGTGTTATGTTAGGATCGGTCTCGTAAAGATTGACCCTGTCAGATTGGGACTGACCTTATCCATAGCGTCACCATCTCCCTGTCTCTGCACTCCTTCAACACCAGACAACTCTGGATATTCAAATGTGTAGTCTCTGTTTTGGTCTTATCCGCAAGAGTCCTCAACGCCGCTATCAGGGTCTCTCGCTGCCCGGCTTCTCGTGTCCAGACATGCAACACGGCGACGTGCGAATCCTTTGAGTACTTTTCAGTATCCTCACTCTTGGTCAACCATCCGCCCACCTGATCATAATGACGAAGATCATAATCTCGGCTGCTAAGGCCTTGTTCATGTTTTAGCAATTTATCGCCGTCGACCTTTGCCATCTCTTGTTTGAAGATCTCAGAGGCTGGGTGGCCGAGGAAGAACCCTACAGCGTGAGAGTAGCCCTCGAGGCCCCACAGCGTATCTGGTTCTCCGTCTAGATCCTGACCCCAGTAGTACGAAATACTGTGATCCTCTGTCGCGGATACCTCACACAGAGGAACCAGGCGCTCGGTCCACTTTATTGCATCACCATGTCAGCATTATGCAAGGTGAGAAATCGGGAGAACACACCTTTGCGAAAGCTCCTGACGAGCCAACTACACGAGCAATTACAAAGAAACTTGGTCCAGACATAGTTTACTAATGAGGATAATTGGTGCGTTGGACTGCACGGGCAATGACGGTTTATGAATAGTATGGAAAATGCTTACTATTCCTCACGGAGTACTCATGCGGGGCGCGGGGCGGGGGCCGCGGGATAACTTGGTCCAGAGATTGTTCGGAGCAATTTTGAACATCAGGTGATAGGTAAAACCGCAACGAGTTTGAAATCTCAAATTTGTGATTTAGGTGGGCATGGGTGTAGACACAGAGTGGTTGGATCGGAACAGTATGGGAAATCAGATCCAACATGGCAGATTATTATTACACAACACAACAATATACCGGAATATAGCCTGCAGAAAATGCAATCAGAACATTCCAGCGACCTTCTAAAGCTCAATGATGACCAGGTGCAGCAATTTTCAGAAATAAATAAATTCCCACTCAAAAGTGTTCGTTACAACGATAATGTACCCCAAGATCTGATGCCGTCCCAGGATATCAAATCCTTGGGATCGTGAATCCCGCTCAATGCAATGCGCATTTCTATACTAGATACCAACGTTGGTGACCTGATTCTATTGCATGAAGTCGGGCGGGAGGTCAGGTCCTTCGCGAACATTTAGTAAGACAATTTTACTCCGCGCGAGCCAAACTTACCCCATATGTGAAGTCCATCAGGCGAAGCCTTGGATACGTTTGTCTTGGTATGGCAGTTGACCAAATCACCATCTACGTAATGCTCGAGGATGAAGTTCGAAGTGTCAAACCTAATGGCATACTTAAGTTAACCAAGCCACAGTCCTTGCTGGCATTACTGACCAATAGTCAAAAATCTGACTGCCCATGATGTGTCTTCCCACCCCCCAGCAACTTTTGTAGCCTTTGTCGCGCAGCCAGTCATGCCCAAGCACCTGTATATCGAAATCGTGCACTTCAAACGAGGAGTGATGAACATGGAACTTGGGTCCTTGGAAGAGAAACATCGAGTGATGATCAACTAGCTTCTCGCCAAGGTCAACATGCATGAATGCGGTAATCAAGTTTCCATCTTCGTCGTGTAGCAGCTGTCGCAGCAGTCAGTCACTGAAGGGATGGATCACGAGAATCCGCTCCAATACTCACGTCGCTTGGCTTCAGGTTGAACTTTGTGGTGTAGAACTTATATTGTTGTTCAAAGTTCGTGACGCAGATACCGAAGTGACCCAGCTTGTGAACAGGTGCAGGTCCTTTCTGAAATCTTTGGTACTGGCCTGCATGGCGTTGTTTCACGTTTGGCTATTTTCCATTAGCATGAACGAACACATTGAATCGTTCGACATTCTTCAGGTTGCGACCTACAAAGTTGAATTCCAGGAATGGGTAATCGGCGGATGGAGCTATGGGAGTTTGGCCATACACCAGATGGAAAGGAAATCCATCTACGGGATCTGTGAAAGTAACGCACTGACCGCCGCCGGGAGTATCTTTGAGTTCGTATATCTGTGAGGCTGTGGGTATAATCTTGCGCGCCAGGACAAGGTCTTTGATAGATTCTACTATTACACCGACGCCGCCAAATGCATCTTCGTCGGCTTTCTCTGCACAATATACAAACGGCTCGGTGCCATAACCTCGGTAGTAGAATTTGTTCTCGGCGCGTTTGGTTTCCGTGAGGCCAAAAGCTTCGAGGAATTTTTGAGCGCGTTCAACGTCTTTATGTTTGTAGTAGACGTGACCCATCCGAACAATCGTGATTTTAGCGGCTAGGTCCATGAAGGAAAAGTCCTGTGCAGCCGGCTCGACAGCATGGGCAATATCCCCAACTCCACCACCGTTGGTGCGCCCATTGGTGCTTTCCTCGGTGACCATTATCGCAATATATAGCAGGAAAGATAGTAGAACATATGATTCGAGGATTCTACACAAGATAGTGAGTGAAATCAAGAGACTTTAAGCTCTTTGGAAGTTTGCCGATACCAGCACGAAGGTCGTACAAGAGATTGGCTTACTTACCCGGGACGACGCAGATCCAGGAAACAGCAAATACTCCCTTTCCCAGACGCCTAGTGCGCAGCTTGGGTTGGCTGGGAATACTTGACGGTGCATTGACGTGAAATAAGCCGAAGTTCCTCCGCCCACAAAACTAGTGTCCGCTCAGATCTAAGCCACCTCCTTAGTCATGACAGACGTGTTAGGCTATCTTTTACAAAAGTCATCCAATAGTTGACCGACCCATAGTTGATCCGATGTTCAATTCTGCCCACCTCGGGGCCATTATCCGATCTTCGATATCCAGGAAGGAGGCTTTTCAACTAAAACTTATCTGCTTCTCAATTTCTGTTTGGTGAGATCAGAAAGAAGGGCAGCATCGTACCAGTGTAACCAGTAATTACCCTTCAATACCCCTTTCCTCTTTATTTGCCCAATCTTTGGTTGTGAAGCGTCAGCTAGTAATACATTACAGTCACTTTACCATGTTCGATAGTAACAGTGAAAATTTAGTTGGGCTTCCAACTCCGATCGGACCCCAAACTCCGATAGGGCCAAGCAGCGTAGGTTCGTGACCTGGCTACTTCAGTAGCGCTCCCTATTGAAGAGTAGCTGCCTTCTTCTTGCATCAGTTCCAGATTCGATATCCATCGCCCTCTAAGCCTACTGACATGTGCTACAGTTATGACGTCACCCGCGCATCTGTCAGCCTCAAACATATCCTCATCCGTCGCATCATACGAGCCATCCGATGATAGGACAAAGAAACGCAAGAGATCCTCAACCGTCTGTGACGCTTGCCGGGCATGTCGTATCAGGTGTGACGGAGGCCCACCAGTCTGTAGCACATGCAAGAAACAGGGAAAGCTTTGTCAATTCAGCACACCATCGAAACGTCCCTATAGAACGCATGCGGAGGTTGCGTCCCGCCAAAAACGTGCTTGCAGGGCGCTGCTCAATATAGCTGGTGGCAAGAAGACCGTTTGTAGTCTCTCGAAGGAAATTGACACAGTTTCCCAAGTCGAAGAGAGTCCCATGGGCCAATATGTTGGCGAGAGTGAGGTGGCCAGTGCTATGGCGGACAATCCTCGCTCTAGAGAGAGACGAGAGAAGAAAAAGGACGAATCTACGAAGACTGATTCTTTCATCCCATGCGCAGGTGTGCACGATGATGGTAGAAGTCCTTACTCTGCGAAAAGCCCCCCAAAGCGGACACAGAGCGTACCAGTCACGTCTACACAGAATCCTGAAACCACAAAGCCGCTCGTAACGGAAGACCTATCCAATACATTGAGCTCCACAACAAAGCCACTATCACTTCTCCTCCCTATGTATGCATCTCAGCTCCTTGAAGTGTTTTTCTTTCACCCACAACTGGATACCCGTTGTCGACAAGACCGACTTGTTTCGCACCCTGCATCTTTATTCTCAACATACTGTAGCCGTCAAAATATATGAACCCGGGTCAGGCTCCCATGCGGTTTTGTGGGCAGCAATCGCATTGGCCTCTCGACAAATCCCTCCATCCATCGGAAGTCTGGCGCTGACGGAAATTCTGTCAATCAACCAAAAAGCGTTCCAACTCGTGCCTCAGGATATGAGAGTCTTGGAAACTGGCCATTTGCAAGCACTCATCATTCTCAGCATTCTCCATTTTGGATCCAACTCCTTTCGCATGGCATCGAGACTGATAAAGAGGTCTATCGATGCGGCCTTTCAATTTGCACCCATTCAACAGTCAACATCGGAGGAAACGAATCCCGTACCTTTTCGGGATAGCACTCGGGCTCTAATAGCTTGTTTCGTGTTGGACACACTCTACAGCAGTAGATGCGGCACATGTCCCGCACTTCGATCGAGTGATATGCGAAAGCGTGGGGTAAACCTTGAAGCACTTATCCCTGAGGGAGCTGAAGAATGGTCTCCGTGGCCTCGCCCACCGAGCATTATGTTCACAACCACCAAGCACGGCCATCATCAAGGGGCGGCTCGCACTATGAGCACGTTCGTCATCATAGCACGCTTGTGTGCCATCATCAACGATTGGAATCGTCGTCGTGCATCGAACAATCTAACCTCAACTCTGTACTTTCAACAAAAGGATAAACTTGCAAAGATCGTACAGACGTTCCCCTACTATCAGCAAGGGATGGATGTTCAACTTCCGCATATAAAAGTCTTGAATATCATGGAGCTTACAGTCCATTCCTTGCTTGAGCAACATCTGGAAGAGGCGCATCTCTTGGATGAAGTCGAACGCGTGAAAGACCACGACTGGGCAACAAGTACGTTAAGCCGCCTACAATCATATGTCCGCTCGTTTGGGATTACGACTGCACCACCCATATTACAGCTCAGCGCCTACACAGTACTAAATCAAGTTCGGTATCTTGGCGGAACGGCAGCCTTGGACGGGCAGGAACAACAAGCGCAAATGGTCGAAATCCTGCTTCGCGAGTTTTCCGCGTGCACGAGCATGATGTACCTCCGAGGGGTGAGCTTCGACAGCAATGTGGTGCACACGCGCTTCATCTCGCGCGAGTCGACAGCAATCGCAGAACTCAAACTACCTTGCGTCTACCCAGCTGCACCGGCTTCCACATCTTCGCCAGATGAGCCGCTATCGCCAGCAGGCATGCCGGAATTGGACAAGAACAATTCACCATCCATAAGCGAAGACTGCGACGTGATGGCTCCTACGCCAGAGAGTGTGGTACGTTGGGACGTGGCAACGAAGGCCATAGTCCCAGCGTATAAGGAGGATCTACTAAGTAACGATCCATGGTAAGTTCATATCCCAACTCTATAGTAGATCTTCTTACGAAATACTAAAACATATTCAGGTCTAATCTACTGGCCTGTTATTTTGGTATGTAGACTACTATATTCTTATAACTTATTAGACTTTTTGATATCATTACTTAAAACTACTATTAAGACGACTCGGAGAGCCAAAGTGTCTATAATCCCCAGGACCATTTTCGGATGCCCCGGATGCCTCATCGATGCCGGGGAAATAGGGCGCATGGATAGTCAGTAACTAGGTAGGGCCAAGCCACTGCTCATGTCGATCGTTCGACAAGACTAGCACATCCCAAGCACGCCAAGGTCAAGGTCATCCGAAACCGAGACCGAAACCGAAAGAACACCACATCGCAACCCCATGTTCCCAGTCAATGTACCTTATTCCATCGCACCAGTAATATCATCAAGTCACCATCACAAGAAAACGAAAGTCATGGTTAGTATATCCGAAGAGATCCGGTGCCGACCCCTCGCAAGCCGCTTTCGATTGGGTAATGCCGGTTCTCCGATGGCGGGGACATGTCCAAGACTTCTGCAATCCGCTGCCCATCCCATGTAAACTCACCGTTGTGCACGCGAACCAACGTGTTCAATTGCATGAGCACATTTTACATTTCGATGCGTGAACGAGACACTTGATTCGTAGCTCAATCCGTTTAAAAACGCAGGTCGAGGTCCGATTTGGTGGCGTAAGCATGATCGGCTGGTATGTGGAACAGGGTGTGGAAATTAAGAAATGGAAGTAGGGTAGGCGATGTAGAGCTTAACTACGGTAAGTATTTACTTAGTGCTATCGAGTAGCTATATCGCGTACTGTAGTTCTGTCCTAGATATCACCACTTAACAGAACACTTGTAAATTAACACTAAAGCTATTCCCACGAACGTTGCCAAACAGCGTACAGCACGTGATCAAAATGCCGAAAGAAGGTCCAGACTGGTTTTCCGTCCGGGATATCATCGACTGACGCAAAAAGCTGGATTTCTTTCTTGTAAAGGATCCAATAGGAGCTCAAAATGCTTATTCGTCCCAAAACCAGCAAAAGCAGTGACTAGTGCTCGCTGCATTGTTAGGATTGTCATACAGGTACAGAGGGGTCACTATCAATCGCAGGTGAGAGCGACGAACATGGCCGTTTTTGGACGAAGTAACACGGTCAAAATTTCTAACAATGGTTTGCCTGTCAGTGCCACCGGAAAATATAAAAGTATAATGTCTGAGATTGTGTTCCAGCTAAGCACATGCGGAGAGCCTAACGCTCATTTCCTGCAGACCCCCACCTACGACTGCACCTGCGAGCCCAATGAAAACGAGGCTGTTGGCTCATCCAATCTCGAGCATCACACTCGGCCATCATGGCGCGTGCAATTCGGTTGTAACAGCCAGCATCCATTTTCCAACTCAGCGTGAGTCCTTGTTCAAGACAAAGCAACCTTGGCACCTCCAGGGACAAGTTCAGTGAAAACTCGGTCAGGGTCATATTTGTCCCTGATGGTCTTGAGCTTCCGCAAGTTTTCCGCCCCATAGGAGGGGAAGGTCTCCGGAATCTGTGACTTCTGTATGTCACTGAGGTACATGAATGGAAGGGGTCCGAGGCCGGCTGCGGAAAGATTTTCTCGGATTTTGATGTTGGCCTCGGCGTGTACCTCCAGCACACGCGCGTCGTCTTCGGGCCTCGACCATAGAGGGCTCTCCACGTACCAGATCGCTGGACTGTCGTCGCTTCCTAGACCCATTGCGTTTTCGGGAGCCCTTGTCACAATGGGTGTGACGGGAAGCATGCTGAATGTGGTTGAAAAACCTTCGACATCTGCTAAAGACGCGATAGACTCGTAGTAAGTGTCGAATGCGATTCTTGCAGCGGTAGCATTGGCTGGGCTTGTCAGCCAGTGGAAGATAGCTCGCGTTCCGAGGGGAGGCGCATAGTTGAACGCATTTGACCAAGCGCCCATAGTCGTTCGCGTGAGGTTTCCTCTTGTAATAGGGAGGACAGGTGCAGTGAAGTTCTCCAGCCCCAGGGGTTCATTTCCCTCACCGCTGTACCAAAGGTACCCATCAAATGAGATCTCGCTGCTGCGGGATGGCACCCAACGAGTCTGGCCCTCAAAAGAAGCCTTGGGGTATTCCGCGCCATGAAGGGCAAATTGCTCTACACTCTTAATGTATTGCTCTGATACGCCTGATCCCCAGGAGACTGTTCCTATCAACGCAGAAGAAACTGGAACAGTATTCAGGACGGCTTTCGTAACGACACAGTAGTTGTTGCCGCCTCCAACCAAGGCCCAGAATAAGTCAGGATGTTCGTCGGTGCTCGCTGTTACTAAAGTTCCATCGGCAAGAACGCACTGAACAGAGGGAGAAGCGTGTCAGCTAGCTGTTCATCTCATCTGGTGGGTTGGGCGATATCACTTACGTCTAGAGATCTAGCAATGTTGGACATCCCGAATTCATAGGACATGAAACCAAAGGGCCCCCCGCCTAAAATTGCACCAACCACTCCGCCATTACCAGAGCGAATGCCATTGGCTGAGACATTGAAGCCATCCAGATACGCGTACAGCGGAGGCCATGTCACACCAGCTCCGATCGTGACAGTCTGGCGGTCATTTGAGATAGCCATGGTGCTGAGGTTCGTCATGGCCATCATGATACCTTCCGGCCCAATGTTAGCAGCGTTTTCGATGGGCATAGCAGCTCCGCCGCGAATGGAAAATTCGACTTGATGCTCCTGAAAAGCACGCAGCGCAAATTGCACATCCTCCGTGCACTGTGGAGCAAAGATGCACGACGGCCCTAGGTATGTCGTCGCGGTCCAAGAGTCTGCGTAACTTCAGTCAGCTATACTGGATCCGGCTCATGGCAGACTGCATCTTACATTCATTTTCGAATGTATACCTCTCCGAGCCTGGGAAAAATGTCTTATCCGGATGGCTAGAGGCCAACGCATTGCAACTGTCGTTGACGGCAGCGCATCTCGCATTTGCGAGGAACAAGGCGAGTCCGAGGACAGAGACTTTGAAAGATTTTTGCATTTTCAGCGAGCGTGGCCGCGTCCGCGATCAAAATGTTCTCGGAGTGTAGGGTATAATCATTTTGTTTCGTGGCGCTTGCTTTGACATTTATATATCCACTGAGTCCAAGACAACAATTGGCAAGTCCATAATAGTTTCGTTCAATAGGTACGCCAAGTAGCTCCTTTCTTTGACACCACATCAAGTAAACATTAAGAATCCTAACAGCCGTAATTGCAACAAGAGAAACTAGTGCTAAGTTACTGATTCTCTCCGGAGGCTTTGCCAGACCTGGAGAAATGCCTAGAGTTGCAATCTGCTAAGCAATTAGTTTGTTTCGACACTGACATCCATCTAGGTTTTGAGCATGGATCTACGGTGAGAGTAAGAATGTAGAGATGACGGAGGACCAAGCAGCCAAGCAGCCAAGCAGCCAAGAGGCCGATACAGGTCATACACGAGGGTCGGACCGAAACCGAGATCGAAACCGAGACCGAAACCCCTCCTGTAACTGGAAACTTATGATCGCCTGGGCATTGCTGGGCGCGCGTTGGCTTCCACAGTAATGAATACACCGTTGGAATACCTATAGAACGCCAAGCTCAGACTACAATATCATTTTCATCAAAAGTCTGTGACTTCAGTCTTGGTCACCACAAACGGCACAGCGTCTCTGACACAGGCAGTGCACAATGTCGCTTTGCCAGCGCTAGTTCAACGTGCCAACTCTGATTTATCTGTCGATAATCTCTGACTCTTGCGCCTCTCCACCACCGACTGCCAGAGGCACTCCCCTTGTTCGAGATGCATCTCATTCGTTCTTTCATTGGCTTTTGGGGCTTTGCCTCCGCAGCAAGCGCTTTGGACATGAATCCTGGTGCCATCATAAAGCATACTGGCGAACCCATAGGAACAGAGGAAATTCACGATGGAAGTATGCTTTGCAGTAGCTTATAGGATCGCATTAAGCTTACAACCGTTTAGTCACTATGTACATCAGCCGCGCACCTCGGACTAAGAATAGGACGGCTGTATTATACCTGACAGACGCTTTCGGAATCCCTCTTCTGGAAAACAGACTGTGAGTTTCGTATCTAGAGTTTGAGCCTGAAAGTCCCATCTCAAATGCTAATACAACCAAAGCCTGGCCGACAGCTTCGCGAGGGCTGGATTCACGACCATCATGCCCGACATCTTCCGCGGCGATCCCGCACCTCACGATCTATACTTCGACGCTGATGAGTTCCTCGCAAACCACACGACTGAAGTGACCGACCCTATCATTGATACAACCATCCGCTACATGCGTGATCAGCTCCATTTCGACCGAATCGCGGTTACTGGATACTGCTTTGGAGGTCGATATGCCTTCCGCTCCCTTGCTGAAGGCCGAGGAGTCGACATTGCATTCGTGGCACACCCCAGTTATCTCCAGGATGACGAGGTTGCTGCTATTGGCGGACCTGCGAGCATCGCCGCGGCCGGTAAGTTCTCGGACTTTTGCCTGAGATTTCACTCTCTCGCTGTTGGCTTACCCCTCGTCTTCTTTTCGCTCTCGTGCGCATACTTACTAGTTCGATTACTTAGAAACTGACCCTATATTCGAGCCGGCTCGCCGATTCGAGGTTGAAAGCATGCTAAATCGGACTGCGCACCCGTACCAAGTTACTACATATTCTGGTACCTTTCACGGATTCGGTACTCGGGCCAATATTAGTCTACCTGAACAACGGTTTGCCAAGGAAGAGGCTTTCTTTCAGGCGGTTCGCTGGTTTAAAGCTTGGTAGTAGATGGAATGAGTAGGTCGTGCGAGAATGCTCTATTCTAGCCTGACTAGACCTTGATATAAAGTTTTCACGAGGTTTAGCGCATTGATTGCTGCACTTTGTTAATAGTAATAGCTATTATAGTTGTGAAGCTCTAACGCGAATTATAGTGTGATTCTTGTTGATTGTTTCGCACGCGCACAGACACGACACGTTAGCGCGTTGAGTGGTATTGATAAGGATCTATATTTAGCAAAAAGAAAGATGTTGTAGAGATAAGAAGTGCGAAGGATAGTAGCCTCATTACGAGCGTGCCCGTCACTACACACGGCCAACGAGATTAGCGCCACGACTTTTAAGCAACGTATGCGCACAAAGCCGGGGTCACGCAATTACCGGGAATTGTTCATTCTCTTACTGAACCCTTTCATACCTCCGCCTTTTTGAATAACAGTTCTTTTGATGGGTCCGGTGCATTCTGTGGCTTGTGTTAGTGCTTCGAATCTAATGCCGAAAGAGTGGGACGCATACTCCAGCTCCAAAATCTAAGTTGGGCCACCTATCTTTCATATCCTCTGGCATTTTGATATCATACGTTAAGATAGCTTGCGCGACAATCATCTTGATCTCGTTCGCCGCAAAGAATCGTCCAGGACATGCATGCTGTCCGTAGCCAAAGCCAAGATGCTTCTCGTTTACAGAAACGAATTGATTATGTGCCGAGGATGAGACTTCCCCTCTCCCAGACTGCCGATTCTTGTAGGCCCGTAAGCCGTCGAACGTGCTGGGATCCGGGTAATTGGCTGGGTCGTGATATGCAGCATACGATGCAACTTGAAGACGAGAGCCTTGGGGTATGTGATGACCGTTCGAAAGCGTGACGCCCTTCAGCACCTTTCGCTGGAAGGTGACTATTGAATCGTAAGTTCATGTCACATTCAATGCGTTCCGATTGGAGTACCTACTATAACCAGGAGTGTACACACGGAGTATTTCCGTCATGTAACTGTCGAGCTGCTCCATTTGTTGTAGAGCTTTGATGGTCATCTCGCCCCCATGAGCATGAAGTGTCTCGCGTATCTCTTTCCGTAGCGGCTCCATGTATTCGGGCGTCACAGCGAGGCTGTAGAAGCTAAAGGCAATGTCAGTCTGGAGACCCCGCAGTGATCTGAACATAGCGAACTCACATGTTAGTCGCGGTCTCAACTGTTGTTTGTATCGCCGCAAAGATGATCGCCAGTTGAAGCTTCGCCAATTTGTAAGGAGTGTCGATCTTGTAACGTTCGCGTCTTCTTAAGAACCATTGAATCATGTCGTCCGGGGCCTGCCAACTTGGGTCTTTTTCGGCCTTCAGTCGAGACTCCACGATGGGTGTCAAGATATCAGTTACCGCTTTCTCTCGCTTCCTGATTTGTTTCACTTCTGGAAGATAGCTCGCAAGAAAAGGGCGGAGGATAGGCCTCATTTGCGCGACACTGTTCCTTGCCACCAACACCTCCATCATATAACTTCCGCCAGCCTCGATGTACTGCTCATCCTGACAGAGTTCGGGGCCAACGAAAATCCGCCCAGAGACTCTAGCCACCACTCGAGTAAGAATTCCGAAGATACGTACGGATGTCCAATCGTCACATGTGGGCATCTCATGACGAAGGGCTTCATCTACTTCAGCGGAGATGGCGGGATTGAGTCGCGCTACATGCAGTCAATTCGTTGCCCATTCTGTTCAATGAAAAGAGACATACTCAGCGCGGGCGTCAAATCGGCCCTGATAATATGGCCAAGGATATCCGTATTGAATTCGAAGTGAGTGTCTTTCTCCTTCATGAACTACGAAAGAGTTAGTGTTCGAAGTCATTGTGATCATGTCCATGCTCACTTCTGATATAGCTTTTTCAAAACTCAGCGCGTTATCCGGGACTTTCCGTAATTCGGGTAGAAAACATGACGGAGTAACATATGTGTCGACGCCTACAGACGGTATGTGTTAACCAAATTGTTCACCATGGTCTTCCTGCAAAATTCTCTCACCATCCTCGTTCGAAACCACCCAGACTGTGTCTTTGAACTGGAAGATTTGTTAGATAAAGTAGGAATTTCAGCGAAATTGGCGAGTGACTCACCGTATCGTAGCCTTCGCTAAAAAGTTTCTTGCATGAACTCAGATAGGTTTGTCTCCTCTCCTCAAGACCTTGTTTCTCTTGGCTCTTGACACGGGGCAATGTCGTAATCTGGCGTTTGTTGCTGAACCAGGAGACACATCTCCAAGCGAAGAACGCGGAAGTCACTATCACTGCCAAGTACAACTCAACGAACGCCTTGGAAGGAGAGGACTCTTTCATATTGAGAGTGACAATCGATCGTTGTGGAAGTGTTAAGACCCGTAAGAAAAGCGGATGATCAGATTGTCAGGAGGTAGGCACGAAGAGGGTGCAATGCCTCTACAGTTATCTGGTTATATCACTGCTTCAGTCTGACTGGACGGGATTAAGCACAATGTAGGCCGATGTCCGCTGTCTGACGTGGTTCTGTCCCCAATCACTCCGCATCCGAGTATCCTTTGATTCACGTGCTGCGGAGGTCGGCCGAATGTTTCCTTGGAGAGGTAGCTCGTTCCGGAACATATTCTTTCCCGTTCATATCGCTCAATCTACGATTGCCGAAGCTTAAGCCGGCACCATCGGCCGACAAAGATAAGAGGGGAATGATGACGCGTGCTCCTGTGACGGATTGCATATGCAGGCTCCTGGAACAGTGATAATGGACTGCCAGGACTTTTGTTTCCACTTCTCGAGCTAAATCTCTCAGCTGCGTCAAGGATATTTGAACGGCTGTTCAGACGC